CCCGCTTGAATTCCTGCAGGAACGTTGTCTGTCTGGTCTCTCCGTGCCTCCCAGGGCTAGGGAACTCCCAACACCAACAAGATGTCAAATCCATGCCCCTTCTATATCTTTCCTCTATTTAGTTTTGCAGTTGATAAAGGGAAAAGGTGTGAGGGAGGTAAGCTGGAGAAAAGAATGCTTTTATTTCCTTGTTCAACCCTCCTTGGTCCCTGGAAAGTACCTGTGATGGGATAAATTGGTAAAATCTTCTCAAGCATCTCCATGGCACAGTGCTGGAATCCCACCAGCCCCACTTGGCATTTGTCAAGCTGAGCCTGGAGTCTACTTGATTTACACTGCGTGGAAACTGGTCTCCACCACCCAAGTTCTTGCTGGAGCAAAGAGTTGCTCTTCGAAGTAAAAGGGAAGTCAGTTCTGATCTCTGCTCAGACTTTTCAGGAATGTCACCTTCCCTTACAGAAAATAATTTCAGGAGTGGGTGAATAGTGAAATAAAACAGTATTATTTAGAGAAATTTAGAGAGAAGGCAGTAGTGAAAGAGGGAAAAAGAAAGGGGAGAGATGTGTTCAAGAGAGAGCAAGAGTGTCTTTGAAGGAAAAAATCCAACAGTACACATCTCAGATTGAGGCTGGGCAGATCTCCAGGGGTAGATTGTCCCACTTGCCTTCACAGAGGTAGTTTCCTGTAGGGATTTACCCAAATGCTCCACCTGGGACTTTGTTTTTAGGGTGTGACCAAAGGGGAGCAGTCTCTGATAGGCTCTTTCATGATCCTCTGGGAGCTTCTCCTTTTCTGAGGGGATCTCCTTTTCTCTGGCTGGTGCCTCAGTTTCTCTGGTTGCTTGATGTCTTCATGCCTTCAAGCTACTTCAGGACTGGTGACTTGATAACTTTAAATCATATCTTGGTATTATTTTTTTGTGTGAAAACTCAGAGGGTCCTCCCTGTCCATTTGTCTGTAGCATTCAGTATCTGGGATGATTTTTTCTTTCTCATTACTTTGCCTTCAGTGAATCTTGAGTCTTTACCTCTCTGAAATGGCATATCTATTTCTTCAAAGTTTTCTTATTATTTAGACCAGGTGATATATAAAGTTGCTGACAATTTTAGTTTTAGTTTCAGATACACAATGGTTCCACCTTTAATTTCACCACTGCCAGTGACTGTATCCCAGTACAATGGCCCCAGTTTCCTTCAACTTCCCACTTGTCCCCTTGACAGACACATTTTTTAGTTAATTTTTGTAGTTTTAGTCCCAGCTTACAATAGTGTTAGGTCTAGTTATTCAGACATTTAGGGGGACAGGAGAGATTGTGAGTAGGTGAGGTGTTTGCCTTGCACCGAGTCTGTGGAAAATCATTCCATAAATGCATGCCCTTAGTTATGGGCAGCATCCTGAGTGAACCAAGTTCAGAGAGAGTTCTAAGAAGAAAAGTCCTGCTAGGAAAGTTCAGGCTTAATCAAGAAGCATCCTGCCAGAGAGAGCACAGGTCTGAGTGGGAAACATTCTGCTAGAGGAAGTAATGGCTTGAGCAGACTTTTAGGGGCAGCAAAACAAACAATTGGCAGGGAGACTCCTGCCAGCTAGAGCAAAGTGTTTCCACAGTCTCAAGGCTATTGCTTCTCTGCCCTGTATCCCAGATGCCAAACTGAGCTAACAGTTTATCTTTTGTTCTAGGTACGAACTAATGACTTACGGTGTGTGTGGCAAGAGGGTGGAGGGAACGGGAGGTCGCACTTGATTCAAAGGCCCAGAAGCCCTTTGTTCCAAAATGTGAGGTTTCTTCTCCTGAACAAGCCACTGTGTTTCCTTCTTTCTTAGCAACCTGACTATTTCTTCTGAACAGGATCAAGGGTGACAATTGGTTGGTTCTATTGTGGTGTTCCTCCACACCAGCTGATCCAGGAAGTGATATCTGAGCACAGATCCTGGCTATTGTATGAGATGCTGTGGCATATGTATTTTTTGCATACATAATTAGGGACACTACCGCAGCCTTAACACTCAGAAATTAAAAAAAAAATTATCTTTGAGAGAGAGAACAGATTTTTTAGCAAGATGATACATAATATATACATATATATCTCTTAGTTACAGTCTCAACTTTTCCAAACTGTAACCTCTAATTTGGCCATAGGGGATGGCCAGAGAGATACTATAAGGGTTAAGGTGGTTGAGTTGCATCTGGCCACTGTTGGAAGCAATCCTCCGAACCTGGAGAAAGGGATACAGAGTCAGGAATAGTGAGCAAGGATGAGTGTGGCCCCCCAAGCAAACAAAATCCCTTCGATTTTGCATGGCTCTTCTGTTCAGAAGGATATAGATATACCTCTGAGATATTTTTAGTGATTTGACTTTGTTTTGGCAAAGACAACAAAAAAGTAAGAAAATGAAATTACGTCAAACTAAAAACTTTTTGGACTAAAATGAAAAGACAGACTTTTAAGTTGGAGAAAATATTTATGTAGCATAACCAGATAAAGGACTATTCCAAGGTCTATAAATCTATACTTATGTTTTCCTCAACGTGTCTTATTGATTCTGATCTAATCCTGAGGTCTTTTGGGGGGAAGGGGCCACTTATAGCAGTGCTCAGGGCTTACTCCTTTCTTTGTACTGAGGGATCACTCCTGGCAGTGCTGAGGAACCGTATGAAGTTCTGAGAATCAAACCCTGGTTGATCTGCCACATGCAAGGCAAATATCCGACCCACTGCACTATCACTCTGGTTCCTTATCCTGAGGTCATTAAGGACATCCTGAGGTCACCATTTTGTATGATGTGAGATGTGAATCAACTTTCTTCTTTCCTTCTTGCATGTGGGAATACAATTTTCCCAACATCTATTTGTTTAAAAGGTTTCTTGTCATAGATTCACTGCCCATATATCTTAAAGCTAATCCCTGGTTTTGAATTACATTCTGTTGGTCTGAGAGTCTATTGTTATTCCAGTACCAGATAATTTTAATGGCTATAGACTAATTGTTTTATTTAGTTCTTGGGCCACATCCGGCTCTGTTTGGGGCTTATACCTAGCTCTACACTCAGCTCAGGAATCACTCCTTGTGAGGTTCAAGGGACTAATGAGTTTCAGGGGATCAAAGGAGGTGGGTGGAACACAAGGCAAGCACTTTCCCCACTGTACTCTCTTCAGACCTCTCTTCCTCTTCCTTCTTCTCCTTCTTCTTCCTCTTCCTCTTCCTTCTTCTCCTTCTTCTTCCTCTTCCTCTTCCTTCTTCTCCTTCTTCCTCTGCCTCTTCCTTCTTCTCCTTCTTCTTCCTCTTCCTCTTCCTTCTTCTCCTTCTTCCTCTTTTTACTCCTCCTCTTCTCCTCCTCCTCCTTCTTCCTTCTTTTTCTTCTTTTTTTTTTAATTTTGGGGGCCACACCTGGCAGTGCTCAGGGCTTATTTCTGGCTCTGCTCTTCTCAGGGATCATTCCTGGAAGGCTCAGGGGACCGTCTGGGATGCTGGAAATCTAACCCCCTCTGTTTTACTATCCCTCTAGTCCTTCAGCCCTTTTGTTTTTTTGTTTTGATTTTTTTTAAGTTGCTGTAGCTTTATAGTATGATTTAAAACCAGGGAATGTGATCCTGCCCATCTTCTTTTCTTTGCTCCAGCCCCTTAACTTACAGTTTTTGATGTACAAATCTTTCACATCCTTTGTTGATTCACCTGTGATCAGGGAAATGCAAACAGAACAGTGAGATATCATCTCACATCAGTAAGGCACAGAGCAGAAAGACTAAACAAACAGTGTCAGTGGGGATGTGTGAAAAAGTAACCACTCACTGTTGGTGGAAATGTTTGGTTTAATCTCTATGAAAAACAGTATGGGGCAATAGCACAGCAGGTAGAGCGTTTACCTTGCATGGGGCTGTCCCGGGTTCAATTCCCAGCATCCCATATGGTCCCACGAACCGGTACCGCCAGGAGTAATTCCTGAGTGCATGGCTGAAGAGTTGTGCATTGCTGGGTGTAACCCAAAAAGGAATTAAAAAAAAAAGAAAAAGAAAAAGAAAAGAAAAGCAGTATGGAACTTCTTTATAAGAATGAAAGTTTGGAGGCAGCAAAGGGAAGTCAGACACTCACTTTGTCTGTGGTTGATGCCACAGCACTACCGCTTATGGTACCCTGAGCACTGCTGGGGTTGCTCCTGAGCACAGAGCCAGGAGGGCCAGGTCCTCAGTACCTCCTGGTGTGGCTCAGCCCCCCACCCAAAAAAAAGTAAAAGTAGAGCTTCATATGATCCAGTGATTCCACTTCTTGATATCTCTCCCAAGGGCACAAAAATTACACACGTGAATTCGAAAAGCTATGTGCACAGCAATGTTCATTTCAGTGCCAAGTAAAATAACCAGGATATGGAAACACCCCAAATGTCCAGACAATGGACGATAAGGAGGGTGTGGTACGTGTACGCAGTGGTGTGCCACTTGACTCTCAAATGTGACCCTGGGTCTGCCGTTCCTAGGCTGGCACTGAGGGGATACCCGGTGATCTGACTCACCTACGGTAAACAGAAAAGCACAGCGGGTACTAAGCAGGGTGTCAGCGTGACGAAGCTTTGACCTTTGTTTTCAGATCTGGGTTTGCCCAGCAGTGAGCGGTGGGGGTGGAGGAGGCGACGGACCGGCCACGGTCCAGGGGCCGCGCGCAGCTGCTGCCCCACTCCCTCAACTTCTTGGTGCCAGACTCGAGTGAAAGTGACGGCTTGTGTTTCACTAGTGGCCTTCGCTGTCAAACAGCTGAGACTCTTGGTCCCCCCCAGTCCCCCCGAGACGCGCCGTCTCCCGGCGGCGGGCACCATCTCCCCGCCCTCCGCGCGCGTCCCCAGCCCGCGGCTGACTCCGGCGGGGACCCGCGTCCCCGCCCAGCTGCGCCCGGTGCGCGGTTCCGGTGCGGACGAGGGTGCCAGGGCCTGCGGGCGGGCGGAGCCGGTTCCGCCCAGCAGAAGGGTCAGCCCGGAACCCGGAAGGGCGCGGAGGGGAGTCGGGATCCGGGCTCGGAAAGGGCAACCCGGGAGGGCCTCCGGGAGGAGGCGGGAGCCAGGACCGTCACCCGCAGCGCCCCGAGCCGGGACCGTCACCCGCAGCGCCCATAGCCGGGACCGCCACCCGCCGCACCCACGGCCGGGACCATCACTTGCCGCGCCAACAGCCGGGATCGTCACCCGCAGCGCCGGCAGCTGTTCCAGCGGCCGAGTCGTCTGCCAGGTGCGTGGGCACATTGGGACCCCGACCTGTCGCGGCTCAGCCTGTCCTCGCCCAGGGGCGCGTCGTGCGGGAGCCGCCTCTCCGAGCGCCCGGGGCCCGGAGGGCCTGGGCGACGCCTCGCTCGGGCCCGGGAGAGGGGGCGCAGGGGCCCGGGAGTCGCGCCCACACTCCGAGACCTCCGCGCCACCGCGCACTGGGGAACAGGTTGCAGAGGCCTCGATTGTTTTTTGTTTCTAAGATGCCAAAAACCGGGGCTTCGTCCCAAAGTGAAATCGTTTCATTGAGGAATTAGGAGAGTGGGGAGAGGAGAGCCCATCTGCCTCCTGAAAATCGGGTTTCGAAAATCGGTTTTGCACACACACACACACACAGACACACACACACACACTCACACACGGACGCATACATGCACGCGCGCACACACGAATACACACGCATATACACGCACACATACGCGCACACATGAATACACAGGCATATACACGCGCACACTCGCGCACACATGAATATGCATGCATACACACGCGCACAGTCGCGCACACATGCTTTGGTGATTAGCCTGGGACAGAAACCCGACCCGGTGGGAACTCCGTGTACCAGTGTCCAGTCACTTGCTGAAGGCCAGACTGGGAATCGGTGGATTCTGGTGACTCACTTCCTTCAGCCCTGGGTACGGCGCTCCCCGCCTTGGTCTGAGGGGAGGAGCCGGGGCGCAGGAGTCCAGGCAGTGCAGGGTGCAGGGAGCGGCGTGCGCGTGCGGAAGCCTGCCTGCCCGCCCGGACTGTGTGGCCCCGCCCGAGCTTAGGGGAGCTGTGGACCGAGTGGGATCCGGGCCGGCCGTTCCCTGTGTGCCCGTGGCGTGGTGGGCTCGAACCCCGGCAGCGTGAGGGACCCAGGCCGGCCGAGTGCGCTGTCCACCGGGGCTTTCGGGGCAGGCCACGCTCCAGAATCAGCGTCGCTGTCCTGAGGCTGGCCAGGCCACAGCGACCCTGGGAACGCCTTTGCCCTTTGCGTCGCGCTCAGAACGTTTGTATCTGCCGTACACTTAACATCGGTATGAGAATGGTCAGAGGAGGTCGGAGAGATGAGCAGGAGACCCGGGTGCGAATGTAGAGTTCCCCGAGTATCAGGTAATCGTGGCCCCAAAACAGAAACAGAACAATTGTTGGACAGAAAATGTACCCGTCAACTTATTATTTTGGTTTGGAGGCTTACAGAGATCCATGCGGTGTGCAAGGCATGCCCCTTAACACCCTCCTCTCTTTCCTCTCTCTGTGCCTCCCTCCCTCCTCCCCCCTTCGCTTCCTCCCTCCCTCTCTTTTTGACTTGAAGGCCACAGCAGTGGTACAGCATTGTTTCATTGTAAGCTGCCTACCCAGATTCAATCCTCATCTGATCCCCTCAGCCCCCCCAGGAGTGATCTCTGAGTGCAGAGCCAGGAGTAAGCCCTGAGCACCGCTGGGTGTGACCCCAAAACAAAACAACAACAAAGACCCACTTTACTTGAAGTGTATTTATAATAATAACCAAATATTTAATGACTTGGGGAAAAGTTAAATAATGCAAAACTTATATAGTTACTCAATTTTTTTTTCTTTTTGGGTCACCCCCAGCAATGCACAGGGATTACTCCTGGCTCATGCACTCAGGAATTACTCCTGGCAGTACTCGGGGGACCATGTGGGATGCTGGGATTTGATCCCTGGTTGGCCGCGTGCAAGGCAAACTCCCTATCCACTGTGCTATTACTCCAGCCCCAGTTACCCAAATATATTAAAGGATAGTAAGTGACATTGGGAAAGTTGAAACTTAGATAAGAGAGACTGCCTATAAAATGAAAAATGGAATATTGAAGAATTCTATTTTAGAAAAACAGTTCATTAAAGATAATACAAGAAAGTAACAGAGATATCAAATTATTAATAGTAGGATCATTTCTGGATGGTTGACTTAAAGGCCACATGCAGACCATGGCCAGAAATAACCCCTGAGCAACTCTGACTGTGGTTAAAAGCAAACCAGAACACACATAAACAACTTTCTTGGTGTCATTTACTTGCCTTTAAATCTATCCGTTTCAATTGTACAACTGAATGATTGATTTATTATAGATAAATGAACTAAGTTGTGTACCACCATAATTATCTTGAAGATTTTTATCACAATAGCTGTTGCTTAAATTTTTTCATAATGGTTGATTTACTTTGGGGGAGAGAGGCTACTTTTAGAAAGACAAATAATATTTCTTAGTGTGTTAGAAAATCTAATCAGGAAATTTAAGCAAAACTAAAAAAATTATATAACTTAAGCTAAAACTGAAAAGTAATCTAATTTACTAAGAATAAAAATTATACAGACACAGGGGCCAGAGAAATGTACAGGGGATGAGGTATTTGCCTTGCATATGAACAACTCGGGTTCTGTTGGTCACTGGTACCCCATGTGGTCCCATGAGCACTGCCAGGGGTGATTCCTGAGCACAGAGCATTGGGTGTGGCTAAAAAAACAATCCCCTACCTCCCCACTCTCCACCACCACCCCAGTTACACTGACAGTATTGTTCATGACTTTGTTACGGTTTTTAAGACAGATGCTGGAACTGCAAACAAAGATATAAAGGTGCAAACAAAGATATAAAGAACACAACATCACTGTTGTATTCTAGATACCATAATTTAAAAGTAATTAAAAATTTTCCCAACAAAAAAAGTAATAGATCATAGTCACTGTAAGGATGAAAAATTTTCTGTATGCAGGCAAGTGCCTTAATCCTTGTAATATCACTACAGCCTGGTAAGTAAATGGTTGCCATAGCATCAGGTATGTCATCAAAATTTCCTTCTGGTAATGACTCTCATTTCTGTCAAGAGCCCTAACACAAATACTTCTAGGTGAAGAAAGGAAATGTAAACTTTGCCTCTGAAATCACCTGGTTCTTACCCTGACTTCACCTCAAAGGATTTTTTTTCTGAACCCCTTCACCTCTGTGAAAAAAATGTTTTTCAGGATTGCTTAAGGATAAAATGGTGAAATAAAATGCATGACAACTATTGTGAGTATAGAATGATTTCAAGTTTGACAGTATAGTGCATTACAATATATATGTACTAGGAATAAAATCCTAGGTCAGGGCTGGAGAGTGCTTTCCAGGGCTTTCCAGCAGGTAAAGCCTTGCAAGGGGCTGTGAGTTCCATCCTTGGCACTCCATAGAGTCCCCCAGTTCCCTCCATGAGTAAGCCCTGAGCACTGCCAGGTAAAGCCACTGCCCCTGCCCCTCCAAAAAGAAAAAGAAAGTTAGAATAAAAAGAAAAACAAAACAAAATATTAATGTAATATTTAGATTTTGAGTTTTGCTGATAAGATACAGTTCTAGATTTTTTAGAATTCTAAGGTGAGGGGGCTGGCTGACCCGGGTTCAATTCTCAGCATCCCATATGATCCCCCGAGCACCATTACGAGTAGTTCCTGAGTGCATGAGTCAGGAGTAACTCCTGTGCATTGTCAGGTGTGACCCAAAAACAACAACAAAAAAAAGAAGAATTCTAAGGTGACTCACTGTCACTGTCCTCCCATTGTTCATCAGTTTGTTCGAGTGGGCCCAGAAACATCTCCATTGTGACACTTGTTTGGCATATTGTCGAATACATCACAGATAGTTTGCCAGGCTCTGCCCTGGGGGTGAGATACTCTCCATAGCTTGCCGGGCTCTCCGAGAGGGGTGGAGGAATCGAACCTGGGTACAAGGCAAAAGCCCTACCCGCTGTGCTATGGCGTCCTCTAAGGTGAACTACTTTTTTTTCTGGGGGGAGGGGTAGGTGGGGCGGGGTGGTGGTGATTCACATCCAGCAATGCTTAGGGCTTACTCCTGACTGCACTCAGAAATCACTCCTGGTAAGGTTCAGAGGACCATATGGATGTCAGGGATTGAACTCTGGTCAGCCCATGCAAGGCAAGCACCCGTTTTTGTTTTGTTTTGTTTCTAATTTCAAAGTGTAAGAGCAAGATAGACTAATTTAAATAGCATGGTCGAAAACCTTCACACAAGTCATTATCACTCCCAGATGGAAGCAAATGCTAAATAACCATTTGAATATAAAATGCAATCAACAAAAAGTAAATGTTAATATTATGGAGGGCAGAGTTAAATCAAGAAACTTCATCAGCTAGACTTCATAAGAAAAGAATGGGAAACCCTCTTTGCTGGACAGGTTCTACTACAACTTGGCCTTTTGTTTACAAATGTGGGTTGGAGAAAGAGAAGGGCTCTAGGGAGAAGGAACACATGTGCCAGGTAGCAGGGAACATGCCTGTTTGGGGAAGGGATTGGAGGGGAGATTGGGACACATCAGGCAGTATGTTGTAGGGGATTGAACCAGGGCCCGCCACATGCACGCAAGGCCTTACCCTCGTATTTCATTTCCAGTCCAAAATGTATGGTTGTTTTCTTTGCTTGTTGAAGGAAAAGACAGTGTGGCAAAGGCAAATGGGAGGGAAGTGCAAGATAAGGTGGGTGAGAAAGACCAGGCCAGGAGTCAGGATCAGAACTTGAATTTTAGAGGCTGGAGAGATAATACAGGGCTTAGGATACTTGATTCTATTCTCACTTTTTGTTTGTTTGCTTTTTTGGCCACACCTGACAGTGTGCAACCAGCCTGGTTCGCTTCCTTGAACTGCATTTGGTCCCCTGAGCCCTCCCAGGAGTGATCTGTGAGCACAGAGCCAGAAGCAAACCCTGAGCACTGCTGGAAATGGCTCAAATACTCTCCACCTCCCAAAGAGAGGGGACATTCAAATTTAACCGCAAATGCAATTCCCCCATTATTTATTGAGGTACTGTGATTTACAGTACTGTAGATGATAATTTTATACACACATTGTTCCAAAACTACACCCACCACTGTAGTGCCACATCCCTACACAGTGTCCCAGGAACCCCTCCCACTGCTCTCCCCAGGGAAAAATCAGTTCTGTGACCAACTCTCTAATGTGTTGCCTTTGGCCATTTGTTGCTCCTTTACTATATTTCTTTATAACTCACTTCTGAGAGGGATTGTTCTGTCAGTCCCTCTTCTTCTAACTGACTTAACTCAGCATGATCCCCCCTGGTTGCGTCCACATAGCAGCAAATTGGAAAATTTTCTCACAGCTGCATGATATTCCATTGGATGTATTTACCTTAGTTTCTTTCTTTTTCTTTTTTTTAAAATTTTTTATGTAGGAGTGCTGATATTTATTCAGCCACTGATAAGGCTGATTGAATTGTGCATGAACTCTGCCTTACTTTTTTTTTTCCATTTTTTACAACTTTATTTATTGAATCACCGTGAGAGCAGTTACAGAGCTTTTGGGTTTGAGTCTGGGTCATACAATGAAACACCCGTACCTTCACCAGTGCTCACTATCCACCACCAAAGTCCCCAGTATACCCCCATCCCACACCCTCCCCCTACCTGTGGGGCAGATGATTTCCAAATTACTCTCTATACTTTGATTACACTCAACATTTTGACACCACACCCACCATTATTATTTGGGATTTTACCCCAACACTCAGATGTGCTGAAAAGGCAACAGTAGACAATTTGTTTTCTATTACTGGTTATGAATAACATATGATACCGCGTGGCTGCAGTAGTGGCCACACAATTTTGAAATTCTAAAATTTCAACAATTGAATCTGGAAGAATTTCTTGCCAAAACCTGCTAGGTTCTGAGATTTGTTCCTGAGTCTCTGGGATCATGGCCATTAAACAGCTTGATCAGGAGCCAGAGAGGCCATTCTTGGGTGGTGACTCGAGGTCTCGTTGGGATGGGGAGGAAAGGGCTGGCTCCACCCCCATCCCGTGAGGCACCGTGTGTCTAGTCACTGCAGGCCCAAACCTGACTGTCTAATGGCCTCTGGAAGATGGCAGCCACCAGGCCTTCAAGGGGGAGCAGGTGGAGGGACAGCACCCTTTTCCCCTGGGTGGCTCAGCGACAGTAACCTACTGAGGGGTCCAGACGCATTTCTGCCAAAAGCTGCTGGGTTTCGAGATTTGTTTCTCAGTCTCTAGGATCATGGCCATTAAGCAGCCTGATCAGGAGCCAGAGAGGCCGTTCGTGGGCAGTGAATTGGGGTCTCGTTGGGACGGGGAGGAAAGGGCCGGCTCCACCCCCATCCCGTGAGGCACCGTGCGTCTCGTCACTGCAGGCCCAAACCTGACTGTCCAACAGGCTCTGGCAGATGGCAGCCACCAAGCCACCAAGGGGGAGCAGACGGAGGGACAGCACCCTTTTCCCCCTGGGGTGGCCCGGCAACAGTAACCTACTGCGCAGTCCATACGCATTTCTGCCAAAAGCCGCTGGGTTTCAAGATTTGTTTCTGAGTCTCAGGGATCATGGCTGTTAAGCAGTTCAATCAGGAGCCAGAGAGGCCTTGCCTTCAATTATATATCTGAGCCAGAGGTGGTTTGTGGGTGTGTCTCCCACATACCTAACTTTTGGCCATTTACCTTCTTGGTAAAGTTTGCCCCAAGTTTTTGGGGTCTGGCTAAAGGCACAGCAGCAATTTTGGGGTATCTGGAAGTCTGAAGGCGCCAAGAGGCTGCTGATGCACTCGCCTCACAGGTACAGATTGACCTGCTGGTGGCACCATACCCCCGTTACCTTAGTTTCTTGATCCATTCATCCATAGTTGACATAGGGGTTGTTACCATATTTTGTCTACTATGATAAGTGTATAGTGAATATGTATATATTTGTGAATATATATGTATGCATGTATCCTTTTGAATAAGTGTTTTTGTTTGAGATGCTGAAGTGCAGTTATCTCTGGTTCATATGATAGTTGGTTCTATTCTTAATTTTTGTTTGTTTGCTTTTTTGCCACACCTGGCAGGGCTCAGGGTATGCTCCTGAATCTAAGCTCAGGGGTCACTTCTGGCATTGCTTGGGAGTCCGTCTGGGGTGCAAGGGATTGAACCGGGCCCAACACCGTACAAGGAGAGCACCCTCCCTACTGTACTATCTATCTCTCCAGCCCCTTTGTTCTTATGTTTTCTGAAATTTTCATGTTGCTTCTCATAGAGATTAAACCAGAGACTATTCCCACCAACAGTGAATGAGGGTTCCTCTCTCCCCGCCAACATTGGCTCTTTCCAGACTTTTTGGTATATGCCATTCTCACTTGTTTTTATCTGCATTTGTACCTAATAAGTGACCCTGAGTATGTTTTAATATGCCTACTGGCATGTGTATGTTTTGTTTGGGGACGTCTCTGTTTATCTCCTGTCCCCAATTTTGGGTAGAATTATTGGAATTTTTTCTCAGTTTGGGTATTTTAAAAAATTAAGAAGTTTTAGTCACCGTGAAATTACAAAGTTATTTATGATTGGATTTTAGGCATACAGTGTTTCTCTACCCATTTGGTCAAGGTGCCAGTAAAAGGGTTTGAGGTGCCTGACCTGGGTCTTACCCTGGCACCACAGACCTCCAGAGTATCCCTGTGTTGCCCTGGAGAGCCCGAGCCGGGGGCGGGGGCAGGTATCCCTAGAATACCACATCCTGGAGCCTCTTGTTGATAGCGGCCCCCAGTGGGTTGTGTCTGGAGAATTAGCACCAAGAACGATGCTAACTTTCCATTTCATGCATTTCAGTGCACTGTCACTTACAAACTCAACTTGAAGCATCCTTTCCCTCACCTCTGCAGGATGACTGTGGGAATCTTCGCAAATTGTACCTTCTGTCTGAAAGTAAAACACCTATCCCGTGACCAAAAGAAAAAGCTACAAACCGACATCAAGGAAAATGGTGGCAATTTTTCCCTTTCACTAAACTCTCAGGTATTTGCAAATTCCTGCTATGACAAACAGCATGCATTAAGGGGCATGAACTGTGACAATGCGAGAATAGAGAGAAAAGCCCATCTTCTCCTTGTGCCTGTGAGCCGTGGCAGAGTCCTGAGTGTCTGGTAGCATTCTAGTCCAGCAGGCGTTAGAAACAGAAATAATTTCCCACTAGCCAAATCTGTTTTCAAAGGAGAAAAGTTAAAGTGCAAAACTCCCACATTTCTCACAAATCTTGTCACTCACTGAAGTGGCAGCACTCAAGTGACATATGCCTGTGTGACTTGTAGGGAACCAGGGAAAGAGCTTTGTGCTAGCTTGTACACCAGTTTGATTTAGTCCAGTAAGCATGTTCGGCTCCCTCAGAAGGTCAGCTCCTCTCTGCTCTGCCTATTTATATCAGAATAAATCAATTCTGATCAGAATGATTCAGAATGAATCAAAACATTCTCTCTGCCTTGCCTATGTATATCAGAAATAGAAATCCCTGTCTACCTCCCATTAAAACAGACTTGTATACGAATTTTGCTATGCAGAACCGCACCCTCACTTATCTCTCTCATTGTTTCTGTGGGTGGAGGAATAATTCTTGCCTGTAGTAATTGCTCACTTGATTTTCTGGGTAGAGAATGTGAACCTGGTCTCTCTGTTTTTGAGACTCTCACATGTTGCAAGCACAATCTTTTCTTTGTTTTGCCAGTGACTATACACATTTGAAATGTGCACAATAGCTATTAGGAAGTGCAATAGGCAATGATAAGGAACGATCACCCAGCATATAGCACCAGAGAGACAATACAGGAGATAAACTGCTTTGCTTTGTGGAAGCCAACCTGGGTTTGATCTCCAGCACTGCACATTATCCCCTCAGCACTCCCAGGAGGGATCCCTGATCACAAAGTCGAGAGTAAACCCTGAGCACAGTGATGTGCCCCCACTTCTGCCCTCCCCAAAAACCCAAAATGTGTTTAGTATGCTGCCATTTGTGGTATGCAAAAGTGGTTAGTGTTCTTATATGTGTTTTACCAGTGTTAAAATAGTTCTGAGGGATGTGTGAGGAAAAAAATCACAGGAGCGTCTGGAAAAAAGAGTTGAGAACAGTGGCAGAGAATAAATTTTAATAAAAGCACTTTTTGCTTTTTACGTATTCTACAGTGCTTTATTCTGTCTGTTTCCATTATTCTATTTCTATTCTATTTCTGTTATTTCTATTCAAAACAAATGAACATTAAAATTTTAAATAAATAATGAATACTCTTTGAATCTCTCACTTTCGTAAGGAAATAAACACATTTGAAGGTGTGTACATGAAGATACATGGTCCCTATTGTTTATAGTAGTGAAAATTTGGAAAATGCTGCTTGGTTAAATTTGTCTGTCATGATGCCCCATCACCCCACTCTTTAAAACTACTGATTTCTTTAACTTGTATGGGACAGGACAAGATGCTGTTTTCCATTTTTAGAAATCTGAGAGAAGTTGTTACCTATTGTCTTCAAACACAGTGAAAATTATAGCACAAAAACAAATGATTTAAATTTGTTTCTTACTAAAGCAGAATTAATTATTCTTTCATCTTAGTGCACACATGTCATCGTGGACTGCATGGATGTCCTTAGTCAGCACTTCCTGAAGTCCACCCTGAAGAACCACATGCACATTACGAGCCCTGATTTTGTGTGGGAATCTGTCAGAGAAAGGAGGCTTTTGGACGTGAAGAATTATGATCCTAACCAGCTACAAAAAGACACACAAACTCCTGAAGAAGTGACCATGAGTTCTGGTATTTCAGATTGGGCACTTAGTATATTCCTAGGGTGAAGTATTTGGATGTGTCAGATATTTCAAAGGATTGTCTAGATATACTATAAAAATAAGCCTCTTACTCTGAAAAACTGGGCTGCAAAATGGTAAAGGACAAAGACTAACAATAAAAAGAGATTTTTTAATATTCAGTCTAGTGTGGTCAGTTCAAGCTAATTATGAAAACTGATAATCTCATAAAATGTGATATGTAATTTTAAGCAGAGGGAATGAAACTTTATGTTTAAAAATTCTTTCAGGGGCTGGAGCGATAGCACAGTGGGTAGGGTGTTTGCCTTGCACGCAGCTGACCCTGGTTCGATTCCCAGCATCCCATATGGTCCTCCCAAGCACCGCCAGGAGTAATTCCTGAGTGCGAACCAGGAGTAGCCCCTGTGCATCACCAGATGTGACCCCCCAAAAAGCACAGATAAATAAATAATAAGTAAGTAAATAAATATTGATCCTGGCATCAGACCCTTAGCATTGCCAGGAGCAACCCCTGAGTACCCAGTAGGGAGTAGCTCCTGAACACTGCTGAATATGACCCAAAAACAAATGAAAACAAACAAGCCAGGTAGTTCTGATAACTACTCCTTTGTAGTAAGATATATCAGGTGTCATAACAAATGTTTTTGGTGTGGTACAGCTTCTTTAAAACAAATGTCATCAAGTTTTTCCTTCTCACAGAACATGATAATTGAAACAAAATAAGCAAAGATAGTATACATCTTTTACATGGAAAGCATTCTGAATTTCTAAATTCAGCTACATTTAGAATAATAGTCATCGAGGTTACAAAGATAGTAAAGCAGGTAGGGTGCTTGCCTAGGGCTCTTGCCAACTGGGTTCCATCCCTGGCATCCCATATGGTCCCCCAAGTACCGTCAGGTATAATCCCTGAGTGCAGAGTCAGGAATCACCCCTGAATATAGCCAGTATGTCCCCCAAGCTAACAAAAACCAAAACAGAATAACCACCTTCAGAATTTAATATTTAAAATCTTGATAGCATAAATATAATGAGCAAAATCATAGCATTAAAAATCCTTCCATATTTTATCATGCTATAGATTATAATTCCACTGTAAAAAAGATATGAAGAAACTGGCTACACAGAAGAGTCCTTGAATTTCTCTCTTCTAACTGAGAATACGACAAGTTCCTTTGTGACATTTTAGTCAAGAACTCATTATTATTCTATAGTATGTTAGAAGGACATCTCACAACTGTTCTCACATAATCTTCACATGAGAAAAATACCATTTAAAAATATATATTGCATTAAAATTCTCACATGCCTATCAAAAAAGAGGTATAATATGATCTTAATATCTTTTTACCTATATTTCTCTTTCCCAAATGTACTGTCCTTAAGGGCCAGAGAGATATAACAATGAACACTTGCCTTGCACGCGTCCAACCTGACTTGGATCCCCAGCATTCTGTGTCCTCCCCTGAGTGCTGCCAGGAGTGACCCTGACTACAGAGTCAGGAATACACCCGAAGCACTGCCAAGTACAGCCTCCCTGCCCAAAAAAAAGACAATGAAAAAGTATTTGCTAAGATTACTAATAACTATACCTAATTAAAAATGCTTTAAAATAGAATAGTGTGGCAAATGTGGCTTGTGTTAAAAAATCGTCATTCTGAGATTTGTTGTTTCATTCATTTTAATAAAGTTTTGAGTAATAAACAAGTGTCTTGTTTGTTTTAATTCTAGAAGAGAAAATAGATGATCTACCCCTGGACAGTTCTTCAGAAGAGGAAAACATTGAAGAATTCACTCCGTAATCTACTTCTTTAATTTTTTTAAAAATTCAAGTTAAAAATACTGCATGCTAACATATAAATTTCAGGTGTACATTGTTGTAAACCAGAGTTTTTATGTGCATCTGAAAGCCTAATTCCATTCATCACTATATAGTTGATCTTACTCTTTTTGTTGTTGTTTTTTGGTTTGGGGACCACACCCGGTAGTGCTCAAGGTTTACTCCTGGCTCTGTGCTCAGGAATCACTCCTGGCAGACTCAGGGACCAATGGGATGCCAGATCGAACCCAGCTTGGTCATGTGCAAGGCAAACACCCTACGTGCTATTCTATAGCTCCACAGGCTTGTGGGACTGGCGGGGGGGGGGGGGGAAGTTCGGAGGCACTGATCACCCCTGGAAAGTGGACGCTCTGCCAGGGCCCTGGTTGGCAGTTTCTCTTCCCTCCACTCTGCTTCCTGCCTCATGTCTCCCATGGAAACCTTCAGTATTCTACATCAGAGCCCCAGGATAATGCAAAGGAGGAATCTGCTCATTCCTTTGGGCTATTTTTTGAAATGTCTCAGGAGATACCAGGGATTTGGCATTTTTTACAGGAATAGGAGAGCCACAAAAAACAATTGAATTAAAGGGGACTGGAGCCATAGCACAGCAGATAGCACAGCTTTGCACATGTCTGACCAGGGTTCAATCCCTGGAACCCCAAATGGTCCCTGAAGCACCACCAGGAGTAATTCCTGAGTGTAGAACTAGAAGAAACCCCAGAGCATTGCCTGTGGTCCAAAAACAAAAAATAGATTGAATTGAAATTCTTTTTATTTGATTTTTACTGTAAACATTTTAATAAAAATTTCAGGTTTCATTCAGAGAATGTTGAAACTCCTCATTTTCTTCCTGTTTTTGAAGTGGCAAAATATAACGTCTTGGAAAAAGTAAGTCATTCTCTTTCAAAATAAAATAATAGCAATTTGAATAACTTCTGATTATTTTTCCTGTTTGGCAATATTCTCTCTCTCTTTAAATTATACATATCCTGAATAGCTATTTTTAACATGAGATGATTTTTTTGGTGTTCGATGGTTGCAGTGACTAACTTTTCCTAAACACTTTCTGTATTTTCTGAACTGTCATTGGATGAACTATTTTCTTGGGAGCAGCGTTTGTGAGTGACCTATGCCAGGTGTTGACTGTGAGGTTGTGCTGAAGGTCTGAATGTCTCACTCTGTTGCGAGTGTTAGCGCCCCAGGCTGTGGGTGTCAATGTCTGTCTGTCCTTCAGGTGTGAGTGTCTGTGCTGCAGATGTTAATGTACCACTCTGCTTTGGGAGTGTGCGGCTGTGCTGCAGGTGTTAATATGTTGCAGGAGGAAGAGGGTTGTCTCCGAATTGCACTCCTAGAGCTGCGCTGTGCCCAGGAACCCACTGAGGCTGCGTTTGCCGTCTTCTCGGTCCTCCTGGGGCCTGGCCCCAAGGTGAGCCCCATGTGTGTTCTCCATAGCCCTCCCGTGACTGTGTGTGCTCGTCATACGCTCCGGGTTTTGAGCAGCCAAAAAGCATGCTTTGTCCTTTGAGGCTGAGTGCGCCCAGGGCAAAGCCAGCTGCTTCCTCCTTCCCCTGACCCTTGCCGTGTGCTCAGAAGCCAGGACTCTGAGCTGGGAAATACTTTCCCCCCTCAGAATCACCAGAGGGAAGAGACACTCAGAGGTGATGGTGAGCTCTGTGTGGGGCAGGGGGGGGAGACCATACACGCTTTCATCTTCACACTAGGGCACTGGGTCCAACTTGGACACGTCTGAAACAGAAATTCAGAAAGATTGACCAGAGTTCTATCCCAGTGCTGCAAGCCCACCAGGGAATGGCCATGTAGATGACCTGAGTCAGAGGCTTTTACTCTCACATAGGCTCCTGGACTCCCACTTGCCCCTCTGGGTGTGCCAGGTTCGCAGCACGGAAGGGGACCCACCAGCTGGGTTCAGCGTCACTCCCCTCCCCACAGAACCTGTCCCTCAGCCCAAGGGTCAAGATGCTCCTAAGTCACCTTCCAGCTCAGGTTTCCTACCAGCTGTGTATGTTCATTATTTGAACACGATTAACTCATGAGAAGTCACAATTATCCAAGCAGCTTTCCCTAATATGGCAGCTGACATCCATGCTTATTCTAGGTTCCCTGGGAATGATCTAGAAAGATCATTTCATTTCATTTTATCATCCTGTTATTCGTCAATTGCCTCGAGCAGGCCCCAGTAACGTCTCTTTCATCCTAGCCCTGAGATTATATTCAAGGCTCTTTAGGAGAATGAGACCCATCATTGTTACTGGTATTTGGCATATTTGGTACGCCACGGGGAGTTTGCCAGACTCTGCCCTGTGGGCAGGCTACATTCGATAGCCTGCAAGTTTGTCCAAAGTAGGAATGAGACAATAAGATGTCATAAAAAAAAGTTCTGATAAGATGTTGGGCGGCCGCGGCCGCGCGGTTCCGGGATCTGGATTTTATAGTCTCTGAGTCTTGGCTGCTGATGGGATTACACGGCGCCAGGGAGCCAGGTGGTGGGTGTGACCCCCGCCTACTGGAATTTGGAGGATCTGGGTGGAAGATGCTCGACTCCAATCCGAGTAGGCTTGGAGGTCTCGGCCCCGGAACCCGTGTGTCTTTGTCCCTCTGCCAGTACCTTCATGTGTGCGAAGAGTGGTCTCAGCATGGTGGTGGCTGGTCCTGGAGGTCTTCAGCTGCCGGAGCCCTGGTTGGGGCGGGGAGGAAAGCTCAACAGCTCAACCCGCTCTCCTCCAAGGGGCCCCGGGAAGGAACAGCCAGGCGCGGGGGCAGAAGACTGCACTGTTCTCGTCCGGGATCTGGATTTTAGAAAGATCTAGAAAGATCATCAAAGGTTAAATTCCAAGAGAGAAAAAAGGGTTTTTTTTAACATATTAATATAATTTAAAATGTAAACTACTTTTTAAAAAATGGTATACATACTATTTTTATTTGAGATATTAAGGTAAAGGTAAGGTAAAGGCCCTCCCATTGATCATCGATTTGTTCGAGCGGGCCCAGTAACGTCTCCATTGGAGACTTTGTTGTTACTGTGTCTGGCATATCGAATATGTCACGGGGAGCTTGCCAGGGCTCTGCCGTGCGGGCGAGATACTCTCGGGAGCTTGCCGGGCTCTCCGAGAGGAGCAGAGGAATGGAACTCGGGTTGGCCATGTTGGCCACTTGTAAGGCGAACGCCCTACCACTGTGCTATCGCTCCAGCCCTCATATCGATAGCAAAGTGGTAGGGCGTTTGCCTTGCACGCAGCCAACATGGCCGACCCGAGTTCAATTCCTCCGCCCCTCTCGGAGAGCCCGGCAAGCTACCGAGAGTATCTCGCCTGCAAGGCAGAGCCTGGCAAGCTCCCCGTGACGTATTCGATATGCCAGACACAGTAACAACAAAGTCTCCAATGGAGACGTTACTGGGCCCGCTCGAGCAAATCTATGAACAACGGGAGGACAGTGACAGTGACAATACTTTTATTTGAGATATTATGATTTACAAAATTAGGAATATTTTAGGCTTATGGTGTTCCTTATTTATGTACTTGTACCCTGTGGCACATAGTAAGCCCTTAATAAGGACTGAAATGTTAAGAAGTCACTGGAGGGGCTGGAACGATAACACAGTGGGTAGGGCGTTTGCCTTGCACGTGGCCGACCAGGGTTCGATTCCCAGCATCCCATATGGTTCCCTGAGCACTGCCAGGGGTAATTCCTGAGTGCAGAGCCAGGAGTGACCCCTGTGCATTGCCAGGTGTGACCCAAAAAAAGCAAAAAAAAAAACTCACTGCCGCTTAACCTAACATTTTCCTTTTCCTTCAACCTGTAATCCACAGGCTGAAAAGCATTCCTTTGTGAAGAAAACTGCTGCAGATGCAAGTCAGTGCTATGAGAACTGCATCAAGAAGCTGAGGCAGGAAGGATTCCTGTTAATGGCGCGAGTCAGGCCAGAAGCCACGCAGTTCGGATCGGAACAGCTGCAGGCGGTAGGCTTTCTGTGTGATGCTTCGTGTCAGTCACCAGATTGCCCTAACAGGAGGTTCCTTTTTCTTTTTCTTTCCTCATCTCTTCCTGCAGGGACTCACAGCCATGCGTGGCTGTGCTATTGGCGAGGCGCTGCTCACCCAAAGTTGTGGTGTCTGCACATTTGCTCATGGCTGTCTGCCATCTATATGGTTTTATCTACTGGTTTTGTCTACTCTGCCACCTGGTTGATAAACTAAATTTATTCATTTGATTTTGTTTGGGGCCACACCTGTACAGTTGGAGGGTTACTACTTCTAGCATGGTACTTGGGATCACTCCCATGGTGCTCAGGGCATCATGAGGTGTCAGGGATCCAACCTGAGTCTCCTGCATGCAAGCAAATGCTTCAGACCTGTGAGCCATCTCCCCAACTCCTCTTGGTTTCAGATGAACCCAGTCATAAAAACTGCTTTGCTAGTGTTATTTTATCATTTCAGTTGCTTTTAGAGGAGGAGATAAGTTCAAGTACTCTAAGCCCGGAGGTCAGTGATTTGGTGGAAATGATTTGGACAGAAGCTCTTGGACACCTGGAACATGTGCTCCTCAGGTCGGCCAACACCATTAGTCTCAATGATGTAAGTCAACTGTGTCCTTGAAACAGAACCTCTGGTACACAGTTCCTCCTTTTCATTCATTAGCTCGCATAATACATTTACACCAATGGTAATGCAATAAAAGTGTATTCAAAATGAAAGCATGGAACAGATGCACTGTTTGGGTTTTGATCCAGGTGTTCTTAGAGCCACCCTTCATTGTTCTGTGTTTTCTCCCTGGAAAAAGAGAATAATGATGCATGGAGGGGAAATAAGCTCTTGAACCTGCATCAGGTTTGGGAGCTGCTCAGAGGCCAGTATTTGATTCTGACTCCATAGATGACACTCTCTGCAATGTCACGAGGCTGGTCCCAGACCAACTCAAGGTCACAGACAGGCGGGTGCTCAGACAAGTGTTCAATCTCTAGTCTGTACCATCACAATGACTTCAGAGGTTTCTACCTTCTGGCAATGTAAGGAAAACCAAAATGCCTCTAGCCCTTCAGAAAATGCTTTCTTCTTCTTAATTATATATGAGTGAAACTGCAAGTAAAGAAAATACACCCTGTGGTGCAACTGCACTGCCATAACACAATAATCAGGCAGTTTACCTCTCTGAAATGCAACTAATTTATTTCAGGTAGAAACAAATCCTGGTTAAGGTGAAAAAAATACTTGAATAATCAGAAATATGTTCAGTAGAATTCTATTCTTACCTTGACTATCTATATTTCTTATAGAAAATAAGCAAGTCCTCTTTGGTTACACAATTATTTCTTTCTGTGTGTAGTTATAGGTATAGACACAGATGAAAAAGAAGTATATAAAGATGTTTTTTTGTGCAGATTTAGATGCCATATAGATGTATACATTGTACATCAGGTGACATAGCTGTAGATGTATAGGTAGCTCTGTCCACTGTCCTCCCATTGTTCATTGAGTTGCTCGAGTGAGCCCAGTAACGTCTCCATCGTGAGACTTTCTATGTCTGTCCCTCTCTTTCTGGCTCCTTTCACTTAGCATGATACTTTCCATGTAGAACCACTTGTATGTACATTTCATGACTTCATCTTTTCTAACAGCTGCATAGTACTCCACTGTGTAGATGTACCAATCAAAGTTTCTTTAACCAGTCATCTGTTCTCAGGCACTCGGGTTTTTTCCAAATTTTGGCTATTGTGAACAGTGCAGCAATGAATATAGAAGTACAGATGTCATTTTGACTGTACTTTTTTGCCTCTATGGGATATATTCCCAGGAGTGGTATTGCTGGGTCAAATGGGAGCTCAATTTCTAATTTTTTGAGAATCGTCCATACTGTTTTCCAAAAGGGCTGAACCAGTCGGCATTCCCACTAGCAGTGAAGAGAGTCCCTTTCTCGCCACATCTGCGCCAACACCGTTTGCTTTTCTTCTTTTGGATGTGGGCCAGTATGAGACTTTTTTTTACTGTTTTTGGCATATCGAATATGCCATGGGGAGCTTGCCAGGCTCTGCTGTGTGGACAGGATACTCTCGGTAGCTTGCTGGGCTCTGCAAGAGGGACGGAGGAATAGAACCTGGGTTGGCCACATGCAAGGCAAACACCCTACCTGCTGTGCTATCCTCCAGCCATTAGCATCTAGACTAACATCTATAGATATTAACAGAGTTTAGCATAGCTTTGTAAATATGAAATCACAGATGGACAGTGATGTATAGACATAGTTATAAATGACACAGTTGATTTATGCATACAGATGATTTATCAGTGTATACATTTTGTACAGTATAAATAATGGATTCTACAAATGCGCATACAAGTGCTGTAGATATGGTTGCTATGTAGAGTTGTCGAGATACAAACATAGAAGATTAATTCTTTCTGTTCGCTAAGATATGAGTACTGGGAGACTCATGTCATGTCCCCATTGTCACAGCTGAGCTCTGTCTCTGAGAAACATCAGCATTTGTTTTGTATCAGTGTCGGGTAGAGAACTAACAGCTGTGATTTGTTCAACAGTCACTTTAGCTGTCTCTCTACTTCTTCTATGATCATCAAGGCTTAGTCTAGTAAATATATGATGTCCTTTATTTATTTATTTATTTTTAAGATTTATTGATTTATTGCTTTTGGGGTCACACCTGGCGATGCTCAGGGGTTACTCCTGGCTCTGCACTCAGGAATTGCTCCTGGCGGTGCTCAGGGGACCATATGGGATCCTGGGAATCGAACCCAGGCTGGCCACGTGCAAGGCAAATGCCCTACAGCTGTGCTATCACTTCAGCCCTGATGTCCTTTATTTAAAGGTAAACAAGGCAGAGGGAATTCTCCTTCTAGCAAAAACAGCACTTAAAAATGGAGAAACACAAGAACAACTTCAAAAAATAATGACAGAGTTCAATAGATTGATACCCAAAAAGGATGCAACTGCTAAAGAAGTTAACCTGAAAACAATAGCTAAAGATGAAGACCTCTGCCAGGTAAATATCTGAAATACTGAATTTAATTTAAAATATGTTGAAAGCAAGGTGATATATAAAATATGTTGAGAACAAATCTGATGAACAGATAACATTGAATAACAGAAACTATCTCCAGAGTTTTTGCACAAAAATACATTTTTTCTTTTTATTTCGGGGTTATGCCTGGAATGTTCAGGGCTTATCCCTGGCTCTGCACTGAGGAATCACTTCCACAAGTCTCAGGAGACCGGATGAGGTGCCAGGGATTGAATTTGAGTCCACTGAATGCAAGGCATGTGCATTGCTTGCTGTACTATCTCTCCAACTCCCCAAAATAAATTATTGGACTATTCTATAATGTGTTGGCTTTCTGGGGAAGTTATCTGACCATATTCCCCGGCACAAATGTGGTAGAATAGTATTGCAAATGCAAATATGTCTGGAATTACTGCATTGTATAAGGATTTTTTAGATCATGAGAAGAGATAGAATTCTTATTTGCAGATGAAACAAGAAATGGCCAGTGTGTTGACAATGAAGAGGCATTTGCCTGTAGATGACATAAGTCTGGGAGGACACAGAGTTACAGCTCAGGGCTGTGTGATATCAAGCCCTGCTCTCCCCACTCTGTGCTGCCTGTGACCGGGCAGCCCCCTGCCATCCTGCTCCCGTCACCCCCAGAATACGGCTGCTGGCGTAAGCCAGGACATTTCTCTTTCAGAGAAAACTCTGGTTCTGAGTTGCCTCATGGGCAAAGAGCTGGACAAGACTGGAGTATTTGCAAGCGTAGGATTTTGCATGTCTGGGGGGAAATTTAGCTTTCAGTGAATTCCCCAAGGAGTCTGTAATCTAAATTAGTAATGAACAAATGAGATGAACCAGATAATAGCATAAAAAAAAGGCTTTTCCAAATCTTATATTCATGTTTTGCTTGGCTAGCATGAGTAAGCCCTGAGCAACTCCATCTGTGGTCCAACTCCTCCACCCATAACCCTACCCTCAAAAGTTTATAAGGAAATAGGGCCAGAGAGATAGTCCAAAGGTTAATCCTTTTGCCTAATATGTGGCTGCTACTGTGGTTGGAATCCTGGCACCCCAAAAGAGACTTATAAATAAACTTCACGTATTTAACTAAAACACTTTCAAGTTGTATTATGAGAACAGCAATAAAATTTAAGGCAGAAATAGGCATTTAAGAATCTTCTGTATAGTCATGAATAAGTATATAATGATTATGTGAGTGAAGCCCAAGTAAATGTATTTACTACTCTGTTCAAGCCAGCACTGCCCACCTTGTTTTCTCCTGAAATGTTTTTTTTCCTTATTTTGGGTGAGCAGCCACAAGCAGTCACATTTCTACAGTGCTGACTCTTGCTGCATCCTAGTGAGATCACTCTTGCTGCATCCTAGTGAGAGATCAGATACACCTCCACGTGTATTTCCAGCAAACCCAGGCTCCACTAGACAAACTTTGTTACAAATACATCAGATACCACGATGATAAGAAGTGCTTCACTTTCATATCAAACCACATCAGCATTTTATTTTATGGCAGTGACCTGAAGTCTCATTCCTGAAAATGAGTGGCAGATGGCAATGGATCCCATCAATTTATTTTTGTCAAAAATATTAAAAGTAGCACATCCCTATCTTAAACACAGTTCATAATATTCAGAAGCTGTGTGCTCTCCTTGAACTTCCGTGACTTAAGTACGAAAGTAGAGATTCCTAAACTTATTTGGCCTACTGGCTCCTTTTCAGGAAAAACAATCACTTACCACCCCTGGAAATCTGTCTTCTTTAAACAAATCAACAGAAAGTGCTCCAGCCACCACAAAATTGGTGCTGTGGCCCCAGGGACAGTATGTTCCACTGTAGGAAAAACTATATTAAAATTTACTTGGGTTCACTCTCTCACAGGAGGATCTTATTTATTGTTATATCTTTCAAACGTGATACACTGCCTCACATATAGAGCACATGGAGTGAATTTGTGTTAAGCAGAACTGAACTTGAAGTCTAGTGAATGAGTTTTTGTTGAAAGCATTTTCTCTTCACTGTCCTCTTCTGCACAATAAAGATAACAAATAATAAGACCAGAGTAAACGAAAGAAAGAGCGTACCTGAAAACTATCTGAAAGCAATGAATGAGCTTCCAGCCTAACATACACTGTGTGTCCTCTGGTTAGGAGGCAACTTGTTCGCTTTAATTCACCCCCTCCAGCCTGATATCCAGTACAGTCTGTTATTGCTCAAAAACATGGGGAAATTTTATGTTTTCAATATTTTTTAAAATCTTTCTTAAAACTGGCAGATATTTTAATGTGTGATTTTTCTAATATCTGTGTACAATTTCTATCAATAGCTAATAAGAGACATGGTTAATGTCTGTGAAACGAATTTGTTCAAACCCAACCCACCATCTCTTGCCAAATACCGTGCATTGAGGTGCAAAATTAAACAAGTTGATCAAAACACTGAAGAATTTATCAGTATTAAAAAAGAGCTATTACAGAATTACCACAGGTAAGCACAAAGGAAATTCCTAAGGATCTTCTGTTTGTAATACTTTAATAATCTGTTAAAAAATACTAATCTTCAGGGCCAGAGAGATATTACAGTGCATAGTGGATTTGATCCCTGGCACCACATATGGCCCACTGCCCCCTGACATGAGTGATCCATGAACACAGAGCCAGGATTAAGCCCTGAACTCTGCTGGATGTGTCCCCTAAAAAACAAAAAAACAAAAAAGCCCAAAAAACTAATTTCTATCACAGTTGTTCTTGGGTGTTAGTCTCTTATTTTGTTACTTTATGTTCCCCAGATGAATGCAACCTTTCTATGTCTGTCCCTCTCTTTCTGACTCATTTCGCTCAGCATGATACTTTCCATGTTGTACCACTTGTATGTGAATTTCATGACTTCATTTTTTCTAACTGCTACATAGTACTCCATTGTGTAGATGTACCAAAGTTTCTTTAACCAGTCATCTGTTCTTGGGCACTCAGGTTTTTTCCATATTCTAGCTATTGTAAAGAGTGCTGCAATGAACAAACAAGTGCAGATGTCACTTTACTCCATGGCTTAGAGGCCAGCCGCACACTCTAGGGGTAAAGGCAGCTCAGATAGAAAAGGGAGCACCAAATAAAGGGTGCTGGGAAGATCTGCCCAGGATGGGAGATGCCTGCTGAAAGTAGTCTATGGACCGCACATGATTGCCATCCAATGTCTCTTCTGCAGACCACAGCACCCAAAAGGAGAGATAAAACAAAAGGGAGTGCCCTGACACAGAGGCATGGTGGCAAGGGGGATGGGGGTGGGAGGGATACTGGGATTGGTGGGGTTGGAGAATGGGCACTGGTGGTGGGATGGGTACTCGATCATTGTGTAACTGAAACCCAAGCACAACAACTTGTAAGTCTACAACTGTACCTCATGGTGTTTCACTAATAAAAAAATTTTTTTAAAATAAAAATAAAAATAAATAAATAAATAAAAATTTAGATCCCATTAAAAAAAAAGGAAATAAAGTCTTAATTGTGGGATCAAAAAAAAACTAATTTCTACAATTTCCTAAGTACTTTAATCCTAAATAAACTACAAGATAATTATATTGATGACAAATTTCTTTTTTCTGGTTTTTTTTTGCTTTTTTTTGGGTGACACCCAGCGATGCTCAAGGGTTACTCCTGGCTCTGTGCTCAGTAGTTACTCCTGGCAGTGCTTGGGGACCATGTGGGATGCTGGGAATTGAACTCAGGTCAGCCTCGTGCAAGGCAAATGCCCTACTCACTGTACTTTCACTCCAGCCCAGTTTCTTCTGATTTGTAATAGAGCTTGGAGCTGTATTCTATGCTATTCTAAACACTTCATGCTAATTCACTCTGATTTTAAGGTAGCCTCATTTACTAATTATATATAAAAAGTTTCTAATCTAAATGGTATTTGAGTTTGTGTTTTGAAGAACATTGCAAAGAAAACCCCACTTCGGTCAATATTTCAGAATGTAGAAATATATGCACAGCAGCTTCTAAGTGCCCATTCCCTGACAAACAAAACCCCAAGTGGGACCTGGAAACCACGTCAGGAGATCAAGCCTTAAATGTCAGTCCTGTTTGCTTCCTCACCCACCGAGTGTGCTTGACTTTTCTTTTTAGGGGGGTCACACCCTGCAATGCACAGGGGTTTCTCCTGGCTCATGCACTCAGGAATTACTCCTGGCGGTGCTCAGGGGACCATATGGGATGCTGGGAATCGAACCCAGGTTGCAAAGCAAACACCCTCCCCGCTGTGCTATCGCTCCAGCCTTGATAACATGTCTTACACCCAGTGTGCGATAGGTACTCTGCAAGACACAGAGAATGTCTGCTGAGTGTGAGCATGGAGAGATGAGCCTCCCACACACCATGGATTTGACACACTTGGGATCATACTGTGCATCAGATTTCATGACCTGTTTTCAGAATTTTAATTTTGCTGTAGGTCTCACTTCATATCCTTGTTCCTGTCCTGAGAGTCTGTGTTCCCTAGTGACCTCTCAAGGTGTATTTGTCACTCACTGACTCACAGTGACAGCTGTGTGTTCTCTGCTCCTCCTCATCGTTTTTAATTTTGATTACTATCCTGTTCTCTCAACAAGGCCTTCCTCTCACTCTTACAGTGTGGATCCTGTGAACATCCTGCAGATGTTTCGAGTTGGCCGAGTGGATGAAACCATGGAGTTTCAGAGTCAGCTGGGCAACGTGGAGACCTTGCTGCATGGCTCTGCTGCGCACAGCTTTGTGGGAATCCTGTCCCGGTACAAAGACGCACCTCTATTCCCACGTTTCCTTCACAGATATGCAGTTTTTTTCCCTATGTTTTTCAGTCTTATTTATATTAAATGAATATCTGCAGTTAAAGTGAGCTAGTCATGGAGCTGGAGCAAGTAGGACATTTTTCTTGAACCTGGGTACCCCTTACAATACCCTGAGCCCATCAGGAGATACTCCTGAGCCAGGAGTAATTCCTGAGCACCACCAGGTGTGAACCAAAAATTTTATAAAGAAAGAGAAAACATACTTCTATCACAGTAGCAGAGTTCTTGGGCACTCTGGTGGTGGTAAGGTAAGGTAAAGCCATATTGTAACCATGTGACCTAAACTATAAAGAAATCTATTAAACCAGAGATGGCACAGTGGGTAAAGTGTTTCCCTTGCAGGCAGCCAACTCAGATTTGATCCCCAGCACTGCATATGGTCTGCTGAGCCCCACCACTGACTGATTCCTGAGCACAGAGCCAGGAGTAAGTCCTGAGCACTGCTGGGTGTATCCCAAAACAACAACAAAAAAGACAGTTATTATATTCCCAGGAAAATTGAATAAATTATGATAAAGTGTAGAATTTGTATTTATTGCTATGTGTATTGAAGTATAGTGCATGGTTGCAATTGCTTCATTATTATTATCATTATTATCATGGCTGTTCCCAGCCATTCTCAGCCTAGCAAGCTCTGGGACCATGAGGGCCATACTCCACAGGGACTTCGCAGCCCAGGGATGAGCCAGGCTCTTCCATGCAGGAGTGCTCTGCCATTGATCTGTCTACCCAGCCCACACCGCAGTGCTCCGCCATTGGTCTTTCTTCTCAGTCCATTGGTCTGTCTCCCCATCCCTGCAAATTGCTTCATTTTTGTGATGGGAAGGGGCTCTCCAGCCCCTTCTCCAGAACTTGGGACTTGGAGCCACTGCCATTGAGGAATGGAGCAGTTATGTGGGCCCAAGTCTTTGATTTTTGTGTTTTTATGGTATGCTTTTGAGTCTATGAATTTTAGAATTCTCCCTTTAGCTGCCCTTCCCAAAGATAATTATGGTCTCACTTTGCAGGGTCCCCTATATACTAAACATCCAGTAGGAACATCTGAAAGCCCTTGAGCAAGTGAGAAAGGCTGTGAGGCAGTGGCGGGGTGAGGGGCACACCTCTGCCTGAGGAGGGAAAACCAGGAGTAGGAAAATTATCCAGTGACCCAGGACAAGTTAAGGGCAACCAGAAATTGGGGCCGGAGTGATAGTATAGTGGGTAGCCGACCTGTGTTACGAGGCGTGACCCAAAAAAGCCGAGGGAGGGGGGAAGAGAGAGAGAGAGAGAAGAGAGAGAGATGAGAGAGAGAGCAACAAGAAATCATCCATAGCTTGGTATATTTTAGTGGCACCTGGGACTCTTTCTGTAGGATTGTTTAGAATTGTTTGTCTGTTTGCTTTTGGGTGACACTCAGCAGTGCTCAGGGATCATCAGGGGATGGTGCCCAGGATACCCTGTGAGATGCGTGGGATTAAAGAGGGGTTTGCTGCAGGCAGTGCCAGCACCTTCCCCCGTAGTACTTCTCAGCCTGAAATGCATTATTTTTATATCATGCTATAGTTTTGTAATTTTCCAACTTTATGGAGGCATGATTGACACATTTTGGTGACACAATGTAATTTTTTTGGTATGTGTGATGATTAACTGTATATACACGATGTCAAATGATCCCTACAATCAAGTTCATGAGCATATTGATCCCCTCATTTGTTACCTGTTTTCCTTGTAAAGAGAAGACATGATCTCACCAGATTTCAGACATACAATACAGTATCACTGTAGCACTGTCATCCTGTTGTTCATCGATTTGCCGATTTGCTCAAGCGGGCACCAGTAATGTCTTCATTCATCCCTGTCACGTGCTAGTGTAGCCCAATGGCGTCTTCTCACTCCAGGAACACGAAGTGAGACTTTTTGTTACTCTTTTTGGCATATTGAATATGCCACGGGTAGCTTGCCGGGCTCTGCTGTGCAGGTGGGATACTCTGAGTAGCTTGCTGGGCTCTCTGAGAGGGACAATGGAATCGAACCCGGGTCATACAGTACAGTATTATGAACAAACACCACTGTGCTGCTTGTTAGCTCTCTATAACTTAGTGAACTTGTAATGTATTCATCTTATAACTGAAAGTTTGCACCTTTGACCACTATCTCTCCACCTTGGAAATATCTCTTCATAGTCCCTGGAAACTATCATTTACTCTTTAGATGTCAGAGTTTAACTTGTTTTAATGCAGGTGAGGTCATGCAGTATTTGTCTTGCTGTGTCTGGATTATTGGCACACTGGTCTTCTTCTAGCAATTAAAGCACCCATTTTTGTTGGAATCATGTGACATGATCTTGACTTGTTTTTTCTTATTAAATCATTATAATGTCTTTTACTTTTTAGCGGGTTGCTTTTACCCAAAGTAGTTGAAGACCGTGGTGTGAAAAGAACGGATATTGGAAATCTTGGGAGTGGCATATATTTCAGCAATTCACTCAGGTTAGTATGTTATACCCTTAATTATGTAATTCATGGGCTGGAGTGATAGTACAATGGATAGAGTACATGGCTGACCCAGGTTCGATACCCAGCATCCCATATGGTACCCTGAGCAATGCCAGGAGTGATTCCTGAGTGCAGAGCCAGGAGTAAGCCCTGAGAATTGCTGGCTGTGACCCAAAAAGCAGAAAAAAGAAATTATGTAATTCACACCCAGCAACAAGGAATCAGCCACTATTGAGTATACACTGTATATTTCCTGTCTTCTTTGGTGAGGGATTTCTTACCCAAAAGAGATCATTGGAAACAGCTAGTTTTTTTCTCTATAAGATAGAAGTGGTGGATATTTAGGATACTTGAAATCATCTGAGTGTTTTTTCTATCTTAAGAGCTTTCATACCTATTTACCCATTTAATTCTGACCCACCGTCATGAATGGAGCCCTGTTTTTATTCTATATCAGAGATAACCTGAGATCCTATAGTCTGTGTCATTTTAAACAAGTTATGGTTATGGTTTATGTGTAAACTCTGCATGTCTGGGATAACACTTATCATCAATATCATCATTAATACTTAGTCAGCCCTGCGGGGTTTTTTGTTTGTTTGTTTATACAGTGCCAGGGATTGAGTTCAGTGCCTCACACATGCAAAGCAGCACACTACCTCTGAGCTTCATCCTGGCCATAGCCAAAACATGTATAATCCCTGCCCTGTGTCAAGTACCAGGCTAAATGTTTCTTGTAGATTGTCTCACAGCTGGGATAGTGACCGCATTTTATGAAAAAGAAACAGTCTCAGGGAAATCAAATAGTCTGTGTAGGTCACAGACCTAAATGATGGCTTCTGGGTTCTGGCTCATAAAAAAGGATTTTACCTAGGATTTTCAGAGAGTTCCTACAAATCATCAAGAAAAAGATAACCCAATAAGCAAATGAGTAAAAGACATGAATAGGAACCTAACAGAAGAGAAACAGACAATAGCATTTGAAAAGATTGGTAATCAAAAACTTACTAAACCATCATGATACAGTTTACAATTGCCATACAGCCCAAAAGAAGTCCAGCATCTCTGAGTGTTAGTCACTTGCTAGGAAAATCTGATCTCTTGAGCCAGAGCCATAGTACAGCAGGTAGGGCACTTGCCTTGTATGCGACCAACATGAGTTTAATCCCTGGCATCCTGTATGATTTCCCAAGAACCTCCAGACGGATTCCTGAGTGTAGAGCCAGGAATAAGCCTGGGCACCATTAGGTGTGACCCAAAACTAAAACAAAACAAACAAAAAAAAGAAAAATCTGAACTCTCAGATATGTTGGTAAAAGTATAAATTGATAAACTCTCTTGAAAAAAAATTTCACACTATCTGGTATAGTTGAAGAGTTTTGTTGATTGTTAAGATTCAGCAATTCCTGCCACACCTTGGAACATCTGGGAGAATTTCTCAAGGCTGCTGATGCTGATTTCACCCCAGTTAGTTTGATAAATATTTCTAAGAATGAGGCTTGGTTTTCTGTTTTTAAAGGAGAAATATAATATGCAACCTGGGTCAAGAACCCGCTAAGACCAGGGAGCCAGCTGGGCTGAGGCCCACACCACATTGCTCCCAAGCATGGTGGATGACCCTCGAGGCTTCTGACCATCGCTGGGGGTGACCCAAGAGTTCCCCAGCATAGCTGAGGCCAAGTGGCACTGAAAAGCTGGCCCAGCATTGAATGGTCTGTCCCAGTTGGCCAAGTATTGGCAGAAAGTGATCCCTAGGCCACCTGAGCAATTTTCAGGTGGTCCACCCAAAAAATAAAAAAGGGAATATTACCCTAGAAAAATTATAGTATGGCATAGTTGGACTGCGAGACATATAAAGAAAGGAAGGACTAATGACACTTAGAACACTGGAAATGACATAAGTTACAATGGCAGTGGGATGTGTCAGAGCATTTTGGTATCATCCTACATGTACAGTATAATAGTGTAAGCAAAGGCACTATAGTTACACATACCCATGGAACATAACATGAAACAAAAAGATTCTTTATGACTATAGATGCAAAGAAAAACCAACACTAAATGTTCATTGTTGAGGGGGCACAGATTTGTATCACTACTATAAAAAGAGAGGAAAACATTCCCTTCCCTAAAACCAATAATGATTAGATTATCTCTTGGGGTGTCAGTATGAAGCCACGTAGGAATAATGGTTATCTTTCTCTTTTCCTTTTTTTTTTTAAATGTAGGAGTACATTTATTTATTCAGCCATTGGATTAAGCTGATTGAATTGGGCATGAACTTTTTTTTAAACTTAATCACCATGAGATACAGTTGCAAAGTTTTCTTGTTCAAGACTCAGTGGTACAATGATCAAACACCCATCCCTCCACCAGTGCAAACTTTCAACCACCAGTGTCCCCAGTGTATCCCTTGCCCCATCCCAGTTTCTCACTCTGCCTCCATGGCAGGCAATTTCCCCAGTATTCTTTCTCTCTCTACTTTTGGGCATTATGTTTTGCTTGAATTTTCCCACCACCATTCAAGCCTGACCGCCAGGGGCAGATGCTAGATCATTTATTATCTATTGCTCATTTTGAAAATCTTGGGTGCTACAGACACAAGATTCTGGAATCCTAGATTGTAAATGGTTGGGTTCCAGAGACATTTCTGTGGGGCACTAACCCATCTTGCGATTCAGTTGGGCGTCTCTGGACCAGGGCTAATGATGCACTAAGATGCTGTCTGGAGGCACATTGTGGGTGTGACAGCCAGGCTGATAAGCGGGTGGAGAGCCGGGGAGGGACAGCTAGCCAGGAATAGCTTCTGAGAACATACAGTTGTGGCCCAACCCTGTCCCCACATGTGGCTCTGCTATGGGTATTTTTAGTAATTATCAGTAATATGGATACCAGGAAGCTATTAATTTTGGGATGGATGTGGCAGGGGAGGTTTTTTTTTGGGGGGGGGAGGTTGTTCCTGATTCATATATATATTTTCCGATTGAGTGAGATTTTCTGCACAAGTTTTGCTGATTCTAATTCCCACATTGCTTGAGGATTATCTGTAGTTTTTTTTTCATTTAAAAATTTGAAATGAATGATAAAGTTCTAAATTAGATCTTCAGAGAGCCGGAGAGATTCTACAGCAGGTAGAGCACTTGCCTTGCACTTAGCCGACCTAAGCTCAATCCCTGGCACTGAATATGATCCTTAGGTCTCTTTATGAGTTATCCCTGAGCGCAGATCTAGGAGTCAGTCCTTAGCACAGCCAGTCATGGCCCCAAAACCAAACAAACAAAATTGAGTCTTCAATGATATTTCAATGAACACTAAAATTCAGAACTGTGGGGCCAGAGAGATAGTCCCGCAGGAAGGACGTTTGCTTTATATACGGTGACCCGGGTTCAATCTTCAGAATCCCTGAGCACTGAGCACTGCCAGGAGTCATTCCTGAGTGCAGAGCCAAGGAATAACCCCTGAGCATCACTTGGTGTGACCCAAAAAGTTTTAAAAAAATCAAACATTTACCAGCAAATCCTTTTTTTTCTTTATACATATCTTATTTTATATATATAGATAGATATATTGAATCACCATGAGCTACAGTTACAAAGCTTTCATGTTTGAATTTCAGTCATACAGTGATCGAACACCCATCCCTCCACCAGTGTACATTTTCCACCACCAATGTCCCAGGTGTTCCAACCCCCACCCCATCCAACCCCTCCCCCTGCCTATGGTAGACAATTTCCTTCTTTCTCTCTCTACTTAAGGTATTATGGTTTGCAATACAGAGGCCATCATGTTTGGTCCTTTATCTACTTCCAGCATACATCTACCATCTACCATCCTGAGTGATCCCTCCAACCATCATAGGTCAAGATAGCCATACCTAGCACAGGCACGTAGGCCCTTGGTCAGTTAAAGGGCCAGCTTCCCACATATCTGTCCGTCTCTTTCTGACTCATTTCACTTAGCATGATACTCTCCATCGCCATCCACTTATAAGCAAATTTCATGACTTCATCTTTCCTAACAGCTGTATAGTATTCCAGTGTGTAGATGTACCAAAGTTTCTTTAACCGGTTGTCTGTTCTCGGTCACTTTGTTTCCAGATTCTGGCTATTGTGAATAGTGCTGCAATGAACATACAGGTGCAGATGTCATTTCTACTGTGCTTTTTGCACCCGCAGGATATAATTCCCAGAAGTGGTATTGCTGGGTCAAATAGGAGCTTCAATTTTTAGTTTTTTGAGAAATGTCCATATTGTTTTCCAAAAAGGCTGGATCAGTCGGCATTCCTGCCAACAATGAAGGAGATTCCCTTTCTCCCCGCATCCACACCAACACCGATTGCTTTTGGGTTTTTTTTTGGATGTGTGCCAGTCTCTGTAATGTGAGCTCATATCTCATTGTTGTTCTGATCTGCATCTCTCTAATGATTAGTGATGAAAAGCATGTTTTCATGTGCCTTTTGGCTATTGGAATTTCTTCTTTGAGAAAGTTTCGGTTCCTTTCATTGCCCCATTTTATGATGGGATTGGACGTTTTCTTCTTGTAGAGTTCAACCAGTACCTTATATATCCTTGATATTAATCCCTTATCAGAAGGGTATTGGATGAATATCCTTTCCCATTCCGTACACTGTTCTTGTATCACGGTGACTGTTTCTTTTCAGGTGCAGAAGCTTCTTTGTTTAAAATAATACCAATTGTTATCTCTGCTTCCCCTTGCTTGGTCATTGGCGTTTCATGTTTGTAGATACCTTTAGCTTCATTGTCGTGGAGGGTTATTCCGACCTTTTCTTCAGTGTACCTTAAGGAATCTGGTTTGATGTTGATTTCTGTAATCCATTTTGATCTGACTTTTGTGCATAGGCTGAGGTCTGAGCCCGTTTTTGCATGTAGCTGTCCAGTTTTGCCAGCACCATTTGTTAAAGAGGCTTTTCTTGCTCCACTTTGTATTTCTTGCTTCTGTATCAAAGATTAGATGAGCATATGTTTGAGAGCGTGATAAGGATATTCAACCCTATTCCATTGGTCTGCAGATCTATTTGTTCCGATACCATGCTGTTTTAATTATTATCGCTTTGTAGGAGAGTTTGAGGTTGGGGAAGGTGATGCCTCCCATCTTTTTTTCCCCAAGAACTGCTTTAGATATTCGTGGGGCCTTGTTGTTCCTTATGAATTTCTTTTTTTTTCTTTTTGGGTCACACCCAGTGATGCTCAAGGGTTACTCCTGGCTCATGCACTCAGGAATCGCTCCTGGCGGTGCTCAGAGGACAATATGGGATGCCGGGAATCGAACCTGTGTTGGCCATGTTGGCTGCATGCAAGGCAAATGCCCTACCTGCTGTGCCATCGCTCCAGCCCCTCCTTATGAATTTCAGGAATGTTTGATTAATTTCTTTGAAGAATCATGGGTATCCTTATAGGAAGCACATTAAATCTGCATAATGCTTTGAGAAGTATTAGCAAATACCTTTAATCTGTATTTTCTTTACACATAATAAAATATTACTGCCATGTATCTATAAATCTGCACTTTTTTTCTTTCCAATGTAGTACAAGTATTAAGTACTCATGCCCAGGAGAGACAGAAGGCTCCAGACTCCTGGTCATCTGTGACGTTGCCCTTGGAAAGTGCATGGACTTAGAGAAGAGGGATTTCTCCTTAACGAAAGCGCCACCGGGTTATGACAGTGTCCATGGTGTCGCAGGACCAGCCACAGACTTTGAGGTATTTCTTATGTCAAGAAATATGCACGAAGATTTCTGATTTTATTAAGTATGCTTAATTTCAAATCTCGTATGTCTGCTAAATGAATTTAATATTTCCCACCTTAGCAGATTCTGGGCTGGAATGAAAGCACAGCAGGTAGGGCGTTTGTCTTGCATGCTGCTGACACAGCTGATCCGAGTTCAATTCCTCCGCCCCTCTCGGAGAGCCCGGCAAGCTACCAAGAGTATTTCACCCGTACAGTAAAGCCTGACAAGCTACCCATGACGTATTCAATATGTCAAACGCAGTAACAAGAAGTCTCACGATGGAGACATTACTGGGCCCGCTCAAGCAAATCGATGAACAATGGGAGGACAGTGCTATATTGCAGTGCAGCAGATTCTGCTTTTTTGACTTTTGTCAGTTTTTTCCCATCTCGAATTTTTGTTTTCTCTAGGATGATGAATTTGTAGTATATAATACCAATCAGATTAAAATGAAGTATATCATTAAGTTCTATGTACCTGGAGATGAAATAAAGAACTTTTGTCCTTGCAATGAAACTGAATTAGAGGAATTCGAAACTGAGTCTCCATGTTTTTCAGTTAAAGGTAATATTTTTTTCTTGAATACTATTCTACATGATACTGAGTAAACCCAAGCATATTCAGTGGAATTTATAGTCATGTTTATAGTAACCATATATATCCTTATATGTATGTAAATACTTAATTTTTTTATTTATCATGGGATCCTTAAAAAAGATTAAGTCATCGCAAAGTTACACCTTACTTCATTAACACAACTCTATTGATCTTTTCTGTGTCAGGATAGCAAACATGAAAACTGATGAACCAACTTTAGGTGGCCAAGTGTAGGGCCTGAAGTAATAGTACAGGATTGAGGTACTTATCTTGCATGCAGCCAACACTGGTTCTATCCCATGGTCCCGTTAGCACCACTGTTAAGTCACCCCCAAGCACAGAACCAGGAGTGGCCACTGAGCACTGCCAGGTGTGGTACAAACATAAACACACAAAAATAGACTTCAAAGTACAGAAAGACATGCCTGAGAACAGATGACTGGTTAAAGAAACTCTGGTATGTCTACTTAATGAAATACTGTGCGGCTGTTAGAAAAGATGAAGTCATGAAATTTGCATATATTTGGATCAACATGGAGAGTATCATGCTAAGTGAGATGAGTCAGAGAGAAAGGGACAGACAGAATGACTGGACTCATTTGTGAAATATAAAGTAACATAATGGGAAACTCAAGAGTTTTCGAAGAAGACAGGCTTTTTTTGTGGCTCTCTCTTGGCATTCCTTGCACAATCATGGAGGTGCTGAACCAGTTGATCATATTTCTCATCAATGTTGTCAACAGTGACATCTTCCCAAGTTGCCGCAATAGTTCCAAAGAGCTCCCAGTTGGTGGTCGTTCTGGGAGTTCTCTTCTTAAACTATGCATTCCTTTCTCCCCGCTCTGTGAAGTAGAATTTTGCCCAAAGGAGACGGTGGTCCGATCCCGTTTGGAATTTTGGGACAACAGCGATATGGGTCAGGCAAAACCGTCGATTGAATATGATGTGGTCTATTTCATTGTGGAATCGTCCACTGGGAGACTCCCATGTCCAACGTTTAGATTTGGCCTTCTGGAACCTTGAATTACCATGGATTGTCTTGGTCGACATGATGAATTCAGAGAGTCTCTCACCCTGTTCGTTCCATTTTAGGCCATGGGTCCCAATGTGAAGTTCTTTGGCTAATCTTCTCAGTCCTATCTTGGCATTAAAATCACCCACAATGATCTTGTAGAAGGTGTGGTCTTCTTTATAGAACTTCTCCAGCTCCATGTAGAACTTCTCAATTTCTCCTTCATCATAATTGGATGTTGGTGCGTAGACAATGAAGATAAAAACTGCTGGCAGTGAGCCACATCTATTCAAATGTAAACGTTCGATTTGGGTTGTTAGGCATTCGAATGAATCAATGCTCATGGCCAATGCTCATGGACAAGGACACCGATGCCTCCGACGCCTCTTTTTTTTTTTTATAATTTATTACTTTATTGAATCACTGTGGGAAAAGTTACAGAGCTTTTGGGTTTAGGTGTCAGTCATGTAAATATCAAACACATTTCCCTTTACCAATACTTATTTTTAACCGTGAACCCCAATAGAACCCCACCTCCCACCCCTCCCAATTCCTGTGAGGCAGATGAGTTCTAGTTAATACTCTATCTACTTTGACTAGATACATTGTTTCGATAGAAGATGCACAATTATTGTTTAGAGTTTACGACCTCCCCTCCCCAATCAGACATGCTGAAAAAGCGTTGTGAAATGATTTGCTTTCTACAACTTGGTTTAAGAATAAAATGATGTCGTGAGGCCACATTAGCGGCCGCGCGGTTTTGGATTTCTGCTATTTTACTTATTGACCCTGGAAGAATTTCTATTAAAAGTTAGATAATTAAGAGATTGGTTTCTGTGCCCTGGAGTCGTGGCCGTGCCGGAGAGCCGCTCGTGGGGGGCAGCTGGCGACCTCGGTTGGGCGTGGAGGACGGCCCAGAACGCCCCCCTTCCCATGAGGTCCCTGCCGCTCCCACCACCCCCGGCTCAAACCTGCTGTCCACAAGGCTCCCGTGCGGCCGCCATCTTTCTTTCCAGAGAGGAGCTGGTGAGCGGGACAACACCCTTTGCCCTCCTGGCAGGCATACTGGCCGACGCCTCTTCTATCGCATGTTCCGAGGAAAAATTCTCCTCCAGTGTCGAAAACGGCGTGATGAGTTTGGTGCCTTCTTGTCTCAGTCAGACCAATGATGTCGTACTTAATCTTTCGCGCTTGTACCATCAGGTCCTCGATGGATGCATCTGATGCTAACGTATGTGCATTGAAAGTATAGACGATCATTTTTGTCTTCCTTCATTGTGGCAGCCTAGTTCGGTCTTGAGATTTTATAGGCCTCTCCTTTCTCATCCTTCTCAATGCTGCCATATTGGTGACGCCTTCAGGGTCAGGGGAATGAGACCCATTGTAATTACTGGTTTTGGCATATTAAATACACAATGGATAACTTGAGAGGCCCTGCTGTGTGGGCAGAATACTTTCGAATATGCCTGTCTTTGAAAACTCTTGAGCTTATTCACCAACGTGGTTTGGTGCATGCCTCAGGAAACCACAAGTGAACATCCGAACTCGCAAAGCAGTGCGGAGATGCAATCAAGGAAGACATCAAAGAGACAAGAGCAGAAGTGCTGGTAGCTGCGGCAGAAGCTGGGAAAAGTATCCATAATGCCCACCTGTCCTTTGCCAAAACTACAAGACCAAGATGACTGCTCTCCGGCGTCCTGATGGATCTATCACATCTTCCAGAAGGGCAATGGAGAAGATTATCCATGACTTCTACTCAAATCTCTTCGATAGCCATGTCCACCTGCCAACATACCAAATTCCACAGGATGATATGTCGTTCCCAATGTTCTCCCTTCCGAAATTTGACACGCTATTTCGTCAGTAAAGAAATGAACAGCGGAAGCATTCAGAATAAGAGAAGGAACACATGGAGGGTGCGGGATCCCGGAGGAAAAGAAAAAAGAAAAAACAGGTTCCAAAAAGAGCCGAGAGCACCGGCAAGTTCCAGATGGAGTAGGCGCCGCATCCCGCCTCCCCCAGATGGAACCCTGGTGACCAGAAGCCTCTACAAACACAGCTCGAGTATGCGGGAACGAGGACTTTTTCTCAAATCTGCCGGACTACACCTCCCAGGTAACCTCTGATTCCGGAAGTCACGCCCACAGCCCGCCCCCCAGCGCCATCTTTGAAGCGTTCAGAATAAGAGAAGGAACACATGGAGGGTGCGGGATCCCGGAGGAAAAGAAAAAAGAAAAAACAGGTTCCAAAAAGAGCCGAGAGCACCGGCAAGTTCCAGATGGAGTAGGCGCCGCATCCCGCCTCCCCCTGATGGAACCCTGGTGACCAGAAGCCTCTACAAACACAGCTCGAGTATGCGGGAATGAGGACTTTTTCTCAAAACCGCGCGGCCGCTTATGCGGCCGCGCGACATCTCTCTATATACAAAGTGATCAATGAGAAGTAAACCACCCAATCTTTCTCCCTGAAAATCAGAGTTAAGTTTGGAGCATGGCCACAGCCCCAGAAACACAAGGACTTAATGCAGAAACCAGCAGCTTAGAGCAGAAAAGTGAACGGACGATGAGTTAACCCAGGCCATCATTTCTGCCCAGAGGGGAAAGGGTGTTGCCCCATTCGCCCTCTCTTCTCTGGAAAGAAGGATGGCGGCCGCATGGGAGCCTTGTGGACAGCAGGTATGAGCCGGGGTTGTGGGGGGCGACTAAAACTTAACGAGAAGGGGGGCATTCCAGTCCGTCCTTCACGCCCTACCGAGGTCACCAGTTGCCCCCCACGAGCGGCTCTCCAGCACGGCCACAGCCCCAGAAGCACAAGGGCTTAATGCAGAACCCAGCAGCTTGGAGCAGAAAAGTGAAAGGACTATGCGTTAATCCAGGCAATCATTTCTGCCCTGAGGGGAAAGGGTGTTGCTCCCTTCCGCCCTCCTCCCTCTGGAAAGAAAGATGGCGGCCACATGGGAGCCTTGTGGACAGCAGGTATGAGCCGGAGGTGTGGGGGCGACTAAAACCTCATGGGAAGAGGGGCGTTCTGGTCCGTCCTTCACACCCTACCGAGGTCACCAGTTGCCCCCCACGAGCGGCTCCCCAGCACGGCCACAGTCCCAGAAGCACAAGGACTTAATGCAGAACCCGGCAGCTTGGAGCAGAAAAGTGAAAGGACTATGCGTTAATCCAGGCCATCAAGTCTGCCGGAGGGGAAAGGGTGTTGCCCCATTCGCCCTCTCCTCTCTGGAAAGAAGGATGGCGGCCGCATGGGAGCCTTGTGGACAGCAGGTATGAGCCGGAGGTGTGGGGGCGACTAAAACCTCATGGGAAGGGGGGCGTTCCGGTCCGTCCTTCACGCCTTACCGAGGTCACCAGTTGCCCCCCACGAGCGGCTCTCCAGCACGGCCACAGCCCCAGAAGCACAAGGGCTTAATGCAGAACCCAGCAGCTTGGAGCAGAAAAGTGAAAGGACTATGCGTTAATCCAGGCAATCATTTCTGCCCAGAGGGGAAAGGGTGTTGCTCCCTTCCGCCCTCCTCCCTCTGGAAAGAAAGATGGCGGCCACATAGGGGCCTTGTGGACAGCAGGTATGAGCCGGGGGTGTGGGGGCGACTAAAACCTCATGGGAAGGGGGGCGTTCTGGTCCGTCCTTCACGCCCTACCGAGGTCACCAGTTGCCCCCCCCCCCCCCACGAGCGGCTCTCCAGCACAGCCACGGCCCCAGAAGCACAAGGACTTAATGCAGAACCCAGCAGCTTGGAGCAGAAAAGTGAACGGACTATGCATTGATCCAGGCCATCAAGTCTGCCGGAGGGGAAAGGGTGTTGCCCCATTCGCCCTCTCCTCTCTGGAAAGAAAGATGGCGGCCAAATGGGAGCCTTGTGGACAGCAGGTATGAGCCGGGAGTGTGGGGGCGACTAAAACCTCATGGAAAGGGGGGCGTTTCGCTCCGCCCTTCACGCCCTACCGAGGCCACGGGTTGCCCCCCGCGACCGGCTCTCCAGCACGGCCAGGACTCCAGAACACAGAAACCAATTTCTTAACTATCTGACTTTCAGTAGAAATACTTCCAGGGTCAATAGGTAAAAGAGCAGAAATCCAAAACCAACATTTAATTCTTGAACCCAGCCGTAGAAAGCAAATCACTTCACAATGCTTTTTCAGCATGTCTGATTTGGGGGGGGGGGTAAACTCTAAATAATAGTGGTGAATCTTTTATTGAAACAATGAATCTAATCAAAGCAGATAGAGTGTTAACTAGAATTCATCTGCCTCACAGGGACGAGGAGGGGTGGGGGGTGGGGTTTTATTGGGGTTCTTCATGGTAAAAAATAAGTATTGGTAAAGGGAAATGTGTTTGATATTTGCATGACTGAGACATAAACCTGAAAGCTTTGTAACCTTTCCCACAGTGATTCAATAAATAAATAAAAAAAATAAAAATAAAAAAATAAAAAAAAAAAAAGAAATGAACAGCACCCAGCCCAGACAACGTCAGACCTGAACACCTGAAGAACCTGCTGTCAGTACTCATCAATACGCTGGCTCAGCTCTTCACACACTACCTGTCTGAATGCTGAATGCAAGGTTCCGTCCCAATGGAAAACCAGCAGGACTGTACTACTGTACAAGAAGGGAGACATCCACGACATTGGCAACTATCGCCCGATCTGCCTATTGTCTGTCATCTACAAGTTGTTCACTCAAGTCATCCTGAATAGGATTGGCAGAACACTAGATGAAGGACAACCATGTGAGCAAGCTGGGTTCTACAAAGGATTCAGCACCATCAACCATATGCACACGATAACCAAGCTCATCGAGGTTTCTCGGGAGTTCAAGATGCCGCTCTGTCTAACATTCATTGATTTAAAGAAGGCCTTTGATTGATTCTGTTGAGACGGAAGCGGTCATTGAAGCCCTATCTAATTGGCATTCAAACTCAATACATCAGGATCCTCTGTGAGCTGTATTGTGGATTCACTACCAGGATCTCACCATTCTACAAAGAAGTAATCATCCATGTCAAGAGAGGGGTTCAGCAGGGTGATACCATTTCACCGAAACTCTTCTCGAGTGCCACCCTCGAGAACATCATGCGATGACTGGAATAGGAAGGAATGGGAGTGAAGATATATGGTCGGCAAATACACCACCTCCGCTTTGCTGATGACATTGTTTTAATAACACCAAACATTAGCCAAGCGGCACAAATGCTGGCCGACTTCAACTGTGAGTGTGGAAAGGTCGGACTACAGCTGAATCTTACGAAGACAATATTTATGAGAAACAGCCTCGTTTCTGATGCTCCATTCTCTCTCAATGGAACGACCATCTCCGAATGCAATAGTTACGTGTACCTAGGTCGAGAAATCAACATGACAAATGACCTGGCACCCAAGCTGCGCAGGAGGAAGAGAGTGGCTTGGAAAGTCTTCAAGAGCATCGAAGAAATAGCTAAGAGGACGAAGAACCTCCGGCTCCGGGCACATCTCTTTGATTCCACTGTTCTTCCTGCATTAACATATGCCTCAGAGACTTGGGCCCTACACTAACAGGATGAGAATGCTATTCGGGTCTCCCAAAAAGGAATTGAAAGAGCTATCCTTGGAGTATCACGTTTCACTCAAATGAGAGAAAGAATCCGGAGTTCCGACCTCTATCAACGATCAAGGATCAGGGACGCTGTCTCGTTTGCCAAGGTGTCAAAAATCAGATGGGCTGGTCACATAATGAGATTTAGAGACGACCCATGGACTAGAGCTGTTATGGACTGGATTCCACGGGATGTCAAAAGACCGCATGGCTGCCCACCTACCAGATGGTCAGACTTCTTCATCAAGATCATGAACGATCGGTTTGAGGCTCTTCATGTTCCTAGAACAAACAGACGCCATTGGGCTACACTAGCACACGACAGAGACAAATGGAGACATTACTGGCGCCCGCTCAAGCAAGTCGCCGATTAACGGGAAGTCAAGTGATCAAGTGAATGGGAAACTAACACCCAAAGATAGTAGAGATAAGGCCAGAAGGATCACTCCAAGGCTTGGAAGGCGACCTCACCTGCTGTGGGAAAAGGCAGCTGAGATAGAGAAGGAACAACCAAGTAAATGATGCTTGGAGGACTCGCTCAGGATGGGAGATGCGTGCTGAAAGTAGGCTATGAACCAAATATGATGGCCGCTTTGTACCCACATTGCAAACCATAACACCCAAAAGGAGAGAGCGTAAAAGGGAATGTGCCTGCCACAGAGGCGGTGGGGCTGGGGGGTGGTGGTGGCTGGAGGGATACTAAGATCATTGGTGGTGGAGAATGGGCACTGGTGGAGGAATGGGTACTCCATCATTGTATGACTGAAATATAAGCACGAAAGTTTGTAAATCTGTAACTATCTCACAGTGATTCATTAAAAAAAAATGTACAGAAAGCCAAGTAGGGATGTTGGTCAAATAGATAGACAGCAAACAGCTTTAGGAATAAGCTTGGGTTCCACTGATAACTTAGTACACCCCAAAAGTGTCAGTGTTGGAGAACTTGGTGGCTTCCATCTTCTCTCAGATGGGATGAGATTAATATCTGCATTAAGTAAAGGCACTCTATTCTAATGTGCTTCTCATATATCAGGAGTTCAAAGATTTGTGAGGGTGATAGAGTCTCAGATAATGAGAAGGCCAAACCATAACATCATGATTAATAGCATCATAAAATACACGTACATTTCTCTAGTCCTGCTCTTTGTCATTTGTGGTGGTGCTCATATACTTGTGGCTGCGCTGTCAGCTCACACTGGACATGTGGGCAGTGTCCGAACTATGCCTGTCTCAGATCTGCAAGTCAGGGTTGTGCTAATGGGACACATATGCAAGGCCCTAACTGATCAGATTTTTTTTTTGTGCGCGGAGGGCAGGGGAAACACACTCAGTGATGCTCAGGGGTTACTCCTGGCTCTGTCCTCGGGAATTATTCCTGGTGGTGCTTTGGGGACTCTATGGATGCCAACGATCAAACCCAGATCAGCATTGCAATCCAAGACCCCTACCAAATCTGACAGCAGCTGTATTATAACTCTAGCTCTGATCAGATATTTTTCTTAAATAAATGTCTGACTTCATAAATATTCAAGAAGATGATTTGTTTTTTTCCTCTGGGAATCATTTAATGAAATATCTGGCAAGAGAGCCTATATTTATGTATCTAACCATAACTATAATCTTGTACCACCAAGAACAGTTTTAAGAAAATTTCCCCAGAAACAGTATTAGGAGTTATATTTTTAGTTCATTGGATTGAGAGTCTTGGAAGTCTTGTATTGTTCCAGCATAAGTTTGTGGCACTGTAAATCAGTGACAGACCAAAGTAGAATGGCAAGCAAGAGAATACAAATATCTAGATTTATGCTTAAGCTATACTTATTTAGATGTTCTTGATATCTTTGTGTACTTGTGTTGTGTTTAACTATCATTTAGTAATAGTACAATTCTTGGTTTTCAAAATTACTCCAGCAGTCTCCAGAATTGAGAATCAGGTATTCCTGTGTGCTGCATGTGGGTTTACTTACTTTTTAGCATTGGCTGTTGAAAATGAGAATATGTATAATTGTTCATGTTTCCTAAAATATAATGTATGAAGGGAAGAAATAAAGACCAAGATAACAAAAACAGTGCATAGGTGACTTTGAGTGCGAAAAGCTAACATAACTTTATGTTATGAATATAGATTACCAGTTGCCAGACACCAAATCTGACAGCAGCATCAAGGCCGGCCTTCAAGATACCTCTGGGAATTTGGTTCCTCTGGAGGATGTTTGCATCAAGGGGAAAATAATAGACTTTATAGCTCAGGTATGTTCTTGGTGGTTTTATGATATCTAAGGTAAGTTTGTGTGCTTTATAAATGAGAATTTGGTTACAGCTGTGTGTGTTAAGTATGTTCACTAATTGAGTCACTACTACATTCTAGGGACGGTTCTAGCTTGTGTCCATACTTGGCAATGAACAGGATAGAAACTTCCCTTACAGAGCACAGGCTGTGTGTGGAACAGTCAGTAAATATGATAAATGAAATGCTGAGTCCGCTGGATGGGATCGGTGCTAGAGAGTAAAATCACAGCAGAGAGAATGGGAACTGCCCGGGAAAGAGAGGTCGGGGCATGTAAGCGGAGTGAGTAGGATCATCCTACTTAGGTGATGTCTGAGCCAACAGTGTAGAAAATCTCCCGCAGACCTTCCTGGGTGTCCTGGGAAGTGAAACCATGAATACAGGGGAGCAGGCTTGCTGCAAGCAGAGGGTGCTGCGTTGGCAAAAGCCCTGTCACTCATGCTTAACACATTTTACTCTTCTTGGAATAAATTAGTGTTGCTGTTTTTGTGGGGTTTGGAGTTTTATTTTGTTTTGTTTGTTTTGGGGCCATACCCAGTGTCCCTCAGGGGTTACTCCTGGCTCTGCACTCAGGATTTACTCCTGGTGGTGCTCAGTGAACCAGGGATGCCAGGGATGAAACCTGGATTGGTCATGTGCAAGGCAAGCACCCTACTGCTGTCCCCTCTCAGGCTCCTGGGTTTTGCCAGGCAAGTGGAGAGCATGCGGTGTTGAGGTTGAGTGCAAAGCGTCACATATGGGAGGTGTGCTCTGCCACTTGAACTAGATACCTGGTCCCTGAGTTGAGTATTTTTAGTTTAGTTAGATATCAGTTTTGTCTAGAGGAAGTGAATAAAAATTTAGTATAGTATATTAGTATATTAGTTTATAGTATTAGTTTATTAGTATATAGTTTATATTTAGTTTATATATAGTTTATATAGTTTATATTAGTTTATTAGTATATAGTATATTAGTTTCTCTTTTAAGTCCTCCTAAAAGAACTTTTGTTATCATTATTATCTAAATTTTGTTGATTTTTTTGTTCTCTCTCTCTCTCTCTTTCCCCCTCCTTTCTCTCTCTCCTTCTCTCTCCTTCTCCCTCTCCCCCCCCCCCCAAGGAGGGGGAACACTTGGTGATGCTCAGGAGTTACTCCTGGCTCTGTACTCCGAAATTACTCCTGGTGGTGTTTGGGATATCATATGAGATGTTAGGGATCGAACCCAGGCCAGCTGCTTGCAAGGAAAATGCCCTACCTGCTGTACTATCACTCTGGCCCCTGTTGCTGTTGGGTTTTGGCGGTGTTTACACCAAGTGGTGCTTGTGAGACCAGGTGATACAGTGGCTCATCTACTTTTTATTTTTTTTGACTTTTTGGGTCACACCTGGCAATGCACAGGGGTTACTCCTGGCTCTGTACTCAGTAATTACTCCTGGTGGTAGCTCAGGGGACCATATGGGATGCTGGAAATTGAACCTGGGTCGGCCGTGTGCAAGGCAAATGCTCTACCTGCTGTGCTATCACTCCAGCCCCAAATCACCTACTTTTTGAATGCACAGTCATACAATATCATACACAGAATGAAGCTGACTTAGACCTGATCTCTGGTCTAAGTGATTCCAAATGTCCTTTGAAACATAAAACATGAGAACACAGCAGCTCCTGAGAGCTGCCCTGCTTCTCTGAGGAGAGTGCTCCAGCCTTTCGCTGTCCCCCTGTGTAACGCGGATTCCATGTGTCAGTGGTGGGTCCTAATCCAGGGATGAGGGTTTAAGGGACGGTATAGAAATTAAGGGAATTTTTTAAATGTGCTTAATAGTTTCTATTAATAGTTGTTCCATGTGGTTTCCTAGAGTATATGATTTTTTTTCCCTTTCAGGTTGTTGTTTTTCAGACATACAGTAATCAAAGTCATGTGCCTATTGAAGCAAAATACATTTTTCCTTTGGAGGACAAGGCAGCTGTGTGTGGTTTTGAAGCCTTCATCAATGGGAAGCACATAGTGGGAGAGGTAAGGGGAGAAAATGAGTGTGACTTGCTCAGGGATTCAAAAATCAACCTCCCATTGGCACAAATCTTTATTTTCTAAGTTTATTTACAGCTATAAGGCTGAGTAACTCCCATGTAAAACCCAGAGATACTCTCTGCAAAGCTAGGCTCCTGGAGTCATCCCCACGAAGGCAGTCTCCCTGACAACAGTTTCTGTCCCTGACTCTCATGTCTTCATTGTCAAGGGAGATTCTAGTAGCCAAGCTAAAGAAAGTCACATGCGAAACCAGTGAAGCCCTCACCTGCTTATGTGAAAACTGATCCTCTGCACCATGCTATTTGAATCAAACTGAAAGTTATTAATTTAACTTTGGGGGCCATACCTGGTGCTGCTTAAGGGCCCTTCCAGGGGCTCAGGAACCATGTGGTACTGGGAACTGAGCTCAGGGCTGCTCATTTTCTCCTATCTTTGAGCCAGTTCCTGGGCCCTGTTGTACCTTTTTAAGATAAATTGTTCTTGAAGAAGTAGCAGTAGATGGGCTGGAGCAATAGCACAGCAGGTAGGGCATTTGCCTTGTGCGCAGCCAGCCCGGCCGAGCCGGGTTGGATTCCTCCACCCCTCTCGGAGAGCCCAGCAAGTTACCAAGAGTTCCTTGCCCGCAGGGCAAAGCCTGGCAAGCTACCTGTGATGTATTCAATATGCCAAACACAATAACAACAAGTCTCCAAAAAATGGAGACGTTACTGGGCCCGCTCGAGCAAATTGATGGACAATGGGAGGACAGTGTTTGACAGTGTTTGACTTTTTGGTTCAGTATAAAATTGTGGTTTTTCAAAAAAATTAAACACTGGAACGATTGTACAGTGGGTAGGGCGTTTGCCTTGCACGTCTCCAACCCGGGTTCAATTCCCAGCATCCTATATGGTTCCCTGAGCACCACCAGGAGTAATTCCTGAGTACAAAGCCAGGAGTAACCCCTGTGCATCACCAGGTGTGACCCAAAAAGCAAAAAAAAAAAAAAAATTAAACACCATGATTTACAAAGTTGTTCAGAATATAGTTGTTTCAGGCATTTAGTGTTCTAACACCACTAGTGTGACCCTCCTTCCACCAGTGTCCTCAGGTTGCCTCCCCCCCAACCCGTTAGGCACATAACAAATTTACTTTATATTGCTTGTTCCAACAAAATTTTAAGAAATGGCAAATAGAATGATCAGAAAATAAATCAGTAAGAGCCATTTTACTACATGATTTTAAACACTGTAAACTTAAGCATTTAATACAATATAATAAATAAAATAATAAATAAAAATAAATAAGGAATCTATTCTTATGCAAATAAATAAGTTTTCAACTCTAGAGCATAAAGTATATTGCATTATATTTTATTTTGTACTTGGACCTTATGATAATAATCATATCTTACTTGTCATTAATAAAGCTTTTAAAAATTCTGTGTTAATATATTTTGGAGTTTACATGAAATAGGTAAGGTCTACATATGTAAAAAATGTTTGTTTCACCTACACTTTATATAACCATGTGGTCTATGAAGAACAACTGTGGTCTATAAAGTTGTTCATGATGATTTGTTGCAGGCATTCAGTATTCCAACACCAATCCCACCTCCACTATCACTGTCCCTCCATTGTTGTTTCCGGTTTTCTCAACCACCTCTCACACCTATCCTGTAGCCAGCCCACACTAATTTATTTTACATTGCTTGTTATCAACAAATCGCTAACAGAATGATGAAAAAATATTTTCCTACGAGAAAATCACACGTGTAAATTGTTGTATCTCACAACAAAGATATTGAGTCCCTATACTGAGGGATTACTAAGATGTTATTGCAGGTTAAGTTTCTGTTAATGTTTTGTTAGTTGAGATTGGTTGTCTTCTATATTACATACCATCCAATTTGGTGTGCTACTTCTGGATTATTAGTGTTATAGAGTTTGGACCGGAAGTCCAGAATTTTTAACTGGGGAGAGATGGAGTTAAATTTTTAACTGGATGGTGACTGTGGGGCGTGGACATGACTGCCGGGGCTTCCAGAAGTAAGGGAGGTTGTGGGGGAGGTAGCCCTTCCCTACTCAGGGAAAAGCTTGGTGATTTCAGACACAAAGATCCACATACTGTATTTTCGGCAGGTTAGTTTCTCAGTGAGGTTTGGTATTGAGAGGTTTGGAGTTCAGCCAGAAGCTTGGAGGCAATTTTGGAGTGTGTAAGCGAGTGGCCGCCAGGGCTATTTGGGCTGACACTGGGCTAACCCATCCTACTTCTGAATTCCATGGATTTCCATGGGTCTCAGCCATGAGCAGATATCTGGAATTTTTTTACTTGGGGTCGGAACAATGGTATAATGGGTAGGATGTTTGCTTTGCACATGGCTAGCCCAGGCTCGATCCCCAGCATCCCATATGGTTCCCCGAGCACCACCAGGAGTGATTCCTGAGTGCAAAGCCAGGAATAACCCTGGAACATCTCTGGGTGTGACCCCTCGAAAATATTTTTGTGGCTAATTGATCTCTTTTGAGATTTATTTATGAGTCTCTGGAGCAAGCCTGGTAGATGAGCTTACATGGCAACGGTCAGAGGTGATTCACGGGTGTGACTGCTGGGGCTTCCAGAAGTACAAGAAGGTGGGGCCAAACTTTTTTTTTTAAACTATTGGCTCTGAAATTGTTTAGTCCCAACTTAAAGAGCATTTCTTCTTGGTTGATATTTTTTCTGATCCAAACTCAGATTAGGCATGGTATTAAACTATCATCTTTTCTTTTTTCATTTTTTACAATTTTATTTATTGAATCACCGTGAGTGCAGTTACAAAGCTTTTGGATCTAATTCTCGGTCATACAATGAAACACCCACACCTTCACCAGTGCCCATTCTCCACCATCAAAAAACCCAGTATACCCCCATCCCACGCCCTCCCCCTACCTGTGGGGCAGATGATTTCCACATTACTCTCTCTTTACTTTGATTACATTCAATATTTTGACACCACACCCACCATTATTATTTGGGATTTTACCCCAACACTCAGATCTTCTGAAGAGGCAACAGTAGACAATTTGTTTTCTATTGCTGCTTATGAATAACATATGATGTTGTGTGGCTGCAGTAGTGGCTACGTGATTTTGAAATTCCGAAACTTGAACAATTAAATCTGAAGGGATTTCTGCCAAAACCTGCTGGGTTCAAGATTTGTTCCTGAGTCTTGGGGATCATGGCCGTTAAGCAGCTTGATCAGGAGCCAGAAAGGCCATTCGTGGGCGGTGACTCAGGGTCTCATTGGGACTGGGAGGAAAGGGCCGACTCCACCCCCATCCTGTGAGGCCCCATGTGTCTTGTCACTGCAGGCCCAAATCTGACTGCCCAGTGGCCTCTGGCAGATAGCAGCCACCGAGCCACCTAGGGGAAGCAGGTGGAGGGACAGCACCCTTCCCCCTTGGGGCGGCCTGGCGACAGTAACTTGCTGCGCAGTCCGGACGCATTTCTATCAAAAGCCACTAGGTTTCGAGATTTGTTTCTGAGTCTTTGGGATCATGGCCGTTAAGCACCTTGATCAGGAGTTAGATAGGCCGTTTGTAGGCTGCGACTCAGGGTCTCATTGGGATGGGGAGGAAAGGGCCGGCTCCACCCCCATCCCATGAAGCCCCGTGTGTCTCGTCACTGCAGGTCCAAACCTAACTGTCCTTGCGCGCAGCCAGCCCATCTGGAAGATGGTAGCCACCAATCTGCCTAGAGGGAGCAGGTGGAGGGACAGCACCCTTTCCCACCTGGGGTGGCCCAGAGCCAGCAACCTACTACAGGGACCGGACTAATTTCTGCCAAATGCTGTTGGGTTTCGAGATTTGTTTCTGAGTCTCTGGGATCATGGCCATTAAGCAGTTCGATCAGGAACCAGAGAGGCCATGCCTCCAATTATATAGCTGAGCCGGAGGTAGTTTGTGGGTGTGTCTCCCACATACCTAACTTTTGGCCGTTTACTTTCTTGGTAAAGTTTGCCTCAAGTTTTTGGGGTCTGGCCAAAGGCACAGCAGCAATTTTGGGGTATCTGGAAGTCTGAAGTCGCCATCAGGCTGCTGATGCACTCGCCTCACAGGTACAGATAGACCTAATGGCGGCACCATATCCCCTTTAACTATCATTTTTACTGGATAATGCATTAATACATTTTTATTCATAAACAATTCATTGTTATGAATTTGCTTGGTTCATAGTGAAGTCTTCACTGATAACTTCTGAGATCACAGACCATACTATGACTCACATAAAAACCCATCTTTTCCAGATTAAAGAGAAGGAAGAAGCCCACCAGGAGTACAGAGAAGCCATAAGTCAAGGCCATGGTGCATACCTGATGGACCAAGACTCAGCGGTAAGACTTAGCTTCCATCCATTGTCCAGCATTCTGGCTCATAAAGCAAAGAATTGTACAGTGATTTCAAATGGGAAATTTTTACTTAGGAACCAGGAAACTTGTGCTACTGGGGACTCAGAAGTTTATTCCCTATTAGCCCAGGAGACTAAGCTGATCAAACTTGTCTGACTTCTTAAAATCAGGGAGAAAGCAAGTCAATGTTACCAACAAATAATTAAAAAAATTTTGGCCATACTCAATATTGCTTAGGGTTTACTCTGGCTCTGCGTTCAGGAATCTTCCCTAGTGGGGATCAGGGCGCTAGATGTGGCACCATGAAATAAACGGGGGTCAGCCACATACGAGCAGGTGCCTTGATCCCAGTCCTGTCCCTCTGGGTTTAAGTCTACTTCAGTTTGGTTTTTTTTGTTCTTTGTTTTGGGGCCATACCCAGAAATACTCAGGGTTACTCCTGCTCTGTGCCCAATAATCATTCCTGGCAGAGCTCGGGGGTCCATGTGGGAGCTGTGGATCAAACCCAGATTGACCACAGACGAGACAGATGCCCTACTCGTTGTACTGTTGGTCCAGTCCTGAAGTCTAATTTAATTTAAATTATTTCCCCCCTCTCCAAGAGTCCTTCAATGAAGGCACAATAAATATATATATATATATATATATATATATATATATATATATTTTGGTGGGGTGAACCAAACATCTTTGCAGAAACCACATATTGAACCCATATGTGACAAATGGACTAGAGCGATAGCACAGCAGTAGGGCGTTTGCCTTGCGCGCAGCCAGCCCAGCCGAGCCGGGTTTGATTCCTCTGCCCCTCTCAGAGAGCCCAGCAAGCTACTGAGAGTATCTCGCCCGCACGGCAAAGCCTGGCAAGCTCCCCGTAACGTATTCAATATACCAAAAACAGTAACAACAAGTCTCAAAATGGAGACGTTACTGGGCCTGCTCGAGCAAATCGATGAACAGGAGGACAGTTTGTTTGTTTTTATGTGTGTGTATATATATATACACACACATATATATATACATATATATACCTTATATATAAACTTATATATAAACTTTCGTACAAGCACGAAAGATCAAGTACGACATCATTGGTCTGACCGAAACGAGAAGACATCAATTCCATCATGCTGTTTTCGACACTGGAGAAGAACTGTTCCTTGGAACATGTGATAAAAGAGGCGTTGGTGGTGTTGGTATCCTTGTCAACACAAACTTAGTCACGTGCATTGATTCATTTGAATGCCTAACAACCCGAATCGGACGATTACACTTGAATAAATGTGGCTCACTACCGGCAGTTTCTATCTTTGTTGTCTATGCACCAACATCCAGTTATGGTGAAAGAGAAACTGAGAAATTCTACATGGAGCTGGAGAAATTCTATAAAGAAGATCACACCTTCTACAAGATCATTGTCGGTGATTTTAATGCCAAGATAGGACCAAGAAGATCAGTCGATGAACTCCACATCGGAACCCATGGCCTGGAATGGAACGAACAGGGTGACAGACTGTCTGAGTTCATCATGTCAACCAAAACCTTCCATGGTAACTCACAATTCCAAAAGGCTGAATCTAAACGTTGGACATGGGAGTCTCCCGATGGACGGTTCCACAATGAAATAGACCACATCATATTCAATCGGCGGTTTTGCCTAACTGATGTTGCTGTTGTCCCAAAATTCCAAACAGGATCAGACCACCGTCTTCTTCGTGCAAAATTCTACCTCACAGAGCGAGGAGAAAAGAATGCAAGGTTTAAGAAGAGGACTCCCAGAACAACCACCAACTGGGAACTCTTTGGCTCTGTTGCGGCAACATGGGAAGATGCCGTCATTGACAACATTGATGAGGAATACAATCGAATGATTCAGCACCTCCATGATTGTGCAAGGAATGCCAAGAGAGAGATAACCACAAAAAACCGTCTTTCTTCGAACACTCTTGAACTTATTCGCCAACGTAGCTTGGCACGTGCCTCAGGCAACCACAAGCAAACGTCCGAACTGGCTAAACAGTGCAGAGAAGCCATCAAGGATGACCTCAAAAACAGGAGAGCAGCAGTACTGGTAGATGCAGCAGAGGCTGGGAAAAACATTCGTAATGCCCGCCTGTCCTTCACCAACTACAAAACCAAGATGACTGCCCTCCGACATCATGATGGATCTATCACATCTTCCAGAAGGGCAATGGAGAAGATTATTCATGACTTCTACTCAGATCTCTTTAATAGCCACATCCACTTGCCCACATACCACATACCACATGATGGATATGTCGTTCCCAATGTTCTCCCTTCCGAAATCCAACATGCCATCTCGTCGGTAAAGAAACAAAGAGCACCTGGCCCAGACAAGATCAGACCTGAACACCTGAAGAACTTACCATCAGTACTCATCAATACATTGGCTCGACTCTTCACACGCTACCTGTCTGAATGCAAGGTTCCATCCCAATGGAAAACCAGCAAGACTGTACTACTATACAAGAAAGGAGACATCCACGACATTGGCAACTATCGCCCAATCTGCCTATTGTCTGTCATCTACAAACTATTCACTCGAGTCATCCTGAATAGGATTAGCAGAACACTAGATGAAGGACAACCATGTGAACAAGCTGGATTCCGAAAAGGATTCAGTACCATCGACCATATTCACACAGTAACCAAGCTCATTGAGGTATCTCGGGAGTTCAAGATGCCACTCTGTCTAACGTTCATTGATTTAAAGAAGGCCTTTGATTCTGTTGAGACGGAAGCGGTCATAGAAGCCCTAGCCAATCAGGGCGTACAAACTCAATACATCAGGATCCTTCGTGAGCTCTATTGCGGATTCACTACCAAGATCTCACCATTCTACAAAGAAGTAATCATCCATATCAAGAGAGGGGTTCGGCAGGGTGATACCATTTCACCAAAACTCTTCAGTGCCACCCTCGAGAACATCATGCGACGGCTGGAATGGGAAAACATGGGAGTGAAGATAGATGGTCGGCAACTACACCACCTCCGCTTTGCTGATGACATCGTTCTAGTAACACCAAACATCAACCAAGCGGCACAAATGCTGAATGACTTTGACCGTGAATGTGGAAAGGTCGGACTACAGCTGAATCTTGTGAAGACAATGTTTATGAGAAACAGCCTTGTTCCTGACGCTCCATTCGCTCTCAACGGAACGACCATCTCCGAATGCAACAGTTATATATACCTAGGTCGAGAAATCAACATGATGAATGACCTGGCACCTGAGTTACGCAGGAGGAAGAGAGCGGCTTGGAATGCCTTCAAGAGCATTGAAGAAATAACTAAAAGGACAAAGAACCTCCAGCTACGAGCACATCTCTTTGATTCCACTATTCTTCCTGCATTAACATATGCCTCAGAGACCTGGACCCTACGAAAACAGGATGAGAACACTATTCGGGTCTCTCAAAGAGGAATCGAAAGAACTATGCTTGGAATATCACGATTCACTCAAATGAGAGATAGAATCCGGAGTTCTGATCTTCGTCAACGCTCAAGAATCAGGGACGCTGTCTCATTTGCCAAGACATCAAAAATCAGATGGGCTGGACACGTAATGAGGTTTATAGACAACCGCTGGACTAGAGCCATTACTGATTGGATTCCACGAGACATCAAAAGATCACGTGGACGCCCACCTATAAGATGGTCAGACTTCTTCGTCAAGACCCTAAATGATCGGTTTGAGGCTCTACATGTTCCTAAAACGAACAGATACCATTGGACTACGCTAGCACGCAACCGGGATGAATGGAGACGTTACTGGCACCCGCTCGAATAAATCGATGAATAACGGGGATTAAGTGATTAAGTGATATAAACTTTAATATATTTTGAAGTCAGGTTAAAAAGAATAATGAGAGTGTTTTTTAAACTAAATCAATAGTGGCAGAGGAGAGAGGCCCTGGGTTCCCTCCCTGGCTCCACATAACACAGCCTCTGTGACTCCCAGTACTCCTGGTGGGCTGAGTTCTGCTGGAAGAGGTGTGATTCCAGAACACTGCCAGATGTGTCCCTGTAAATAAATAAATAAACCTAAAAACACAGCAAACAAGGCCAGAGTGATAGTACTGTGTGTAAGGCATTTCCTTTGCACAAAGTCAACCTGGGTTCGATCCCCAGCACCACACATGGTCCCTTGAACCCTGCCAGGAATGGTCCCTTAGTGCAGAGCCAGGAATAGTCTTAAGCACTGTCAGCAGTAGCCTAAAATCCAAGTCAAACCAAAACAAACCTAAAACTCATCTGCTTGTTAGAGATCAGGTATAAAATCATATAAAATCAGCCCCTTCCCTCCAAACCCAGTCTGCACTGCCTTCTCTCCTTCCCTCGGCAGTGTTGCCCCCATTCACCCAGCCAGGCCAGGAGGAAAGCTGAGAACTGAGAACTTCATTTCTTCTTTTCCTCTTCTCCACCTTCCACATCCAGTTCATCAGATACTGGAATTTCCTCCTGTTTATCTAGAGAATGTGGCCTACATTACCATTCCATAGTCATCAGTTAAATTGAGGGCCCATCGTCTTCAGGCTCATTCCCGGGCCTCAAAAACCCTCCACGGCCTGACCACTTCTGCCGCCACCGCCACTGCCTCATCCTCCTGCTCCTCTTCCTCCTCCTCCTCCTCCTCCTCTTCCTCCTCCTCCTCTTCCTCCTCCCTTCCTTTCTTCTCCTCCTCCCTTCCTTTCTCCTCCTCCTCTTCCTCCTTCACCTCCTCCTACTTCTCCCTTCCTTCCTCCTCCTCCCTTCCTTCCTCCTCCTCCTCCTTCTCTTTTGCCTCCTTCTCCTCGTCCCTTCCTTCCTCCACCTCCTCCTCCACCTCCTCCTCCTCCCTTCCTTCCTCCTCTTCCTCCTCCGCCTCTTCCTCCTTCCTTCCTCCTCCTCATCTTTCTTCTCTTCTGCCTCCTCCTCCTCCCTTCCTTCCTCCACCTCCTCCTCCTCCCTTCCTTCCTCCTCTT